CTATTTTGTTAATTTAGTTATTATTATGTCAAGCGTTATAAATTATAATTTCCCATATATAATAAATCAAAGGACTTTGTGATATTAAATAAAATTATTGCCGTATTTCCTACAGTAGTTTACGTTTATAGTATATTAATGGCTCTTAGGTCCTTAATGTTAATTTTCCGCTATTTTACATTTCAAATATGCAATATTTTATAGAAGAGTCTAAAATATTATCATATTATGAGAAAGGCAAACTGTGAGAAAATATTTTGATATTTTTTTATTTTGCATCTTTTCAATATCACACGTCATTCAAATAATTTCGTTAGTGTTGTAATTAAATATTTGTTTTTCCTGCAGTGAAATTGTAGTGTTATCGAAGGGAAAATGAAAACCATCGGTATGACTAATTTTTCGATTAGGTTGGGTCAAATTTTTTCTCTATAGAGTGTAAAGGAAAAAAGTAATCTTGAGATAATTCTGAGGATTCTGAGTAAAATTGATCTAAAAGTATATCGTATTTCTAAATTGGATTTTGAGCCCCCGCAATTATCAAATTACAATTTTGTTTGTCTATAAATGTATAAATATTATATTTATATTTTGTTTTTCATGTAGAGGAAGTATTTTGTTGGTGAAAATTTTTGGTTATAATTTTTTGACAAATTTTGATGTAATTTGAAAGCAGGAGTTCTTCTTTATGTACATCAGGAGTTGCATAGTATTAGCTTTACTATTTCAAAGTCAGAAAGCCATAAAATAAAATACTTTAGAATTAGACTAACGTGCTAAGAAGAACTATTAACACCTTGGAATCCTTTGTAAATTTAGCCAGGATTATTTACAGTGATTTTTAGATTAAAACTCATTCTTTTTGTCCAGTATTTTTATATTTTATATTTTTATGCAGTATAAATGCAACTATAATATTATTGTTCTTCTATTATGTAAAACAATAAATGTGCAATTAATTTATATTTATTTTTTAAAATATACAAGTAAGAAATAATTTTATATTACATTAAATGGTTTAATGTTATGAATTATTATAATTCGTCAATTAAAGTATCTTTAAATATCGCATATTTTAAAAATAGATAACAAACTTTTCAAGTAACTAACATATTTTGAACATATTTATTCAAAAGTATTTTATTAAAAATTATTATATGCATTTGCATGGTTGCCACAGGTCAGAGAAATCACAGGGAGAAATCAGCTAATTTCATCAAAAATGCTGGGAAAATATTAAATTTCTAGAATTCATAAGAAAATTTTGGAGTTTGTATACAGCAGCCTTTTAAAATATTGAAAAGATTTAAGTATTTCTTGGTTTTTTGTTTGCCTTTGAAAACAAACACGAATTTTAATTTAAAAAATCTTAAGTTTCATATATTTCTGACAATAATTATTGAACTTTACAGAATACGAAATTGATTTTATTTTAAATAATTTGATTCTTGAAGAACTATCATAAAATTGTTACTATTAAATTAAAAAATAATTTACAAATAATTTTGCTTAAAATATCTAAAAATAATTGAATTTTAGAAGAATTACAATTTACAATTTTTATAAACAACTGAATATCAAAAGGTTTCAAATTTAAATTTAAATAATTTTTATGTAATTAAAAATTCTAGACAAGTTAATTTTTTGAAACATTTTTATTCAAATTGTTTGAATTTTTTATATTTACGTAATTGGAAAATATTCGAATAATTTTTTAAAATTTAGTAAAATTGAATTGAAAAAAAATTAATTTCAGAATTATTTTAGTTGAACTTTTTTTTTTTTTTTTGAACAATTGAATTCTCAAAGAACTTGCTCAAAAATTTTAAATAATAATTGAATATTAAAATATTTGAAAATTTTAATTTTTCTTACTCTTTACTGACAATTCTGTAGAATTAATTTTTTTGAAAAAGTTTAATTGATTTTTTTAAAATTATTTGAAGATTTTACTTTCTAATATTATATTTAATTGAAGAATTTCCAAATAATAGATATTTCGTAAAATTGAATTGTAAGTTTTTAAAGATTCTCAAAGAACTTTTTCAAAAATTATTAAAAATAATTGATTTTGAGAAGAATTTTAGTTAAAAATCACAAAAATAATTATTAAATTTTGTAACATATGCATTTACAATTTTTATAAATAATTACATTTCAAAAGCTACGGTTTCAATATAAAATTTTTTTAAATTTTAATTTTGAATGAATTTATTTAGAAAATTATTGAAAGAATTCAATAATTCTTAAAATTTTTGAGAAATTTCTTAGCAGTATTTAAATTATTATCAATAAAATATTTTAAAAATAATTCATAAATTTTTTTATAAATTTCTTGTCAGAATTTCAATTATTTTTAAAAATTTTTGCAAGAATTTAATTATTTTCAATACAATATTAAGAAAATATCCTAATGCAATTATTCTAAAAGAATGTTAATAAATTTTTTGTAGAATTTCAATTATTTTTAGTTTTTCTCATAAATTCAATTATTTTCAATAAAATTTTCTCAAAAAGTTGAAAAATTTTTTGTCGGAATTTCAATTGTTTTAAATTCTTTACAAGAATTTAATTATTTTGAATACAATTTTAATAATATATCTTAATTCAATTATTCTTAAAAATGTTGGTAAATTTCTTTGCAGAATTTCATTTATTTTTAATTTTTCGCATAAATCCAATTATTTTCAATAAAATTTCTCAAAAGAATTAAATTATTCTTAAAAATTTTGATAAATTTCTTGTAAAAATTTCAATTTTTTTGAATATCAGAATTGAGTTAATTTTACAAATTTTGATAAATTTCTTTGCAGAATTTTTATTATTTTGACATTTAGAAAATTTGAATTTTAAATAAATTTTAAAGAACTTAAAATAAATTTTTTTGAAATTAGTTGAATTTTTTTAATATATAATTAATTATTAAAAATAATGGATTTAAAGGCGAATTTTAGTTAAAAATTCTAAAAGACTTGAATTTTAGAGAAGTTACAAATAATAGCAAGTCTTAGAGATATTAAATTGAATTTTGAAAAGGTTTCAAACTCAAATCTTTGAAAATCTGAAATTTTCATACTTTTAATTAACAATTTTGTAAAATCAAATTTTTTTAAAAAATTTTATTCCAATTCTGTTGAAATTATTTCAAGTTATTATTATTTAACATAATATTTAATTGAGGAATTTTGGAATAATCGAAATTTCGTAAAATTAAGTTGTATACAAATGGATTTGAAAATTCTTAAAGAACTTTGTCAAAAATGTTTAAAAATAATTGATTTAAAGAAGAAGTTAAAAATTCTAGAAAATAATAATTAAATTGAAATGATGGAAATAATTTTGAAAAAGTTACAGTATTAAACAGGGTGGCCGCTGGACCGGGAAACCGGGAAACGACAGGGAATTTTTTTGGACCGGGAAATGACAGTGAATTTTGATCTTGACCGGGATTTTGGAAATTTTTTTTTTAAAACACACATTATTTTGTGAGAAAAAATAGAAATATTTATTTTAGGACTTAGGTATTAATTATATTTCATTAAAAAAGACTGAATAATCTTCTATAAAATCTATTTATTTTGTCAGGGAATGTTATGAAAAGTACTATAAAAATATTCAATTTCTAGAATTTATAAGAAAATTATGAATTTTGTTGTCCAACGTAACAGACTTAGAAAAAGAAAATATTAAATTTAATTTTAAATTCTTTCTATTTCTAACAATAAATTAAACAAAATATAATTTTAATTAAATTTGTCTAAAAAATTTTAAAGAGAAAAAATTTCACATCCTATAAAATAGCGAAAAATAAATCAATTTAAAATTTTTTTTGCAATAATATTAGAACAAAACAAATTTGAATTATTAAAAATTTGAACTAATTAGAACAAAAGTGATACGAAATTTATATAAATTAATTTTTAAATAATAATATCAATTAGTTTTTTTTTCAATTATTGATAAACAAATTTTTCTATATTTTAGAATGTTAAATTAATATTATTATAGATTGAATTTTAAAAAGTTTCAAATTGAAGTTTTAGAAAAGTTGAATTTTAAAAGATTTTAATTAAAAATTCTGAATAAGTTAGTTTTTTGAAATATTTTTATTCACATTTTTTCAAATTAGTTATGTTTTTAAATATGTAATATTTAATTGAAAAAATTTCAAATTATTCAAAATTGCATGAAATTGTCTTGTAAACAAGTGGATTTTAGAAATATTTTAGTTAAAATTTCTTTCTAGAAAATAATTGAATTGAAATTTTGAAAATAATTTTTAATAAGTTACAGTAGCAATTCTTAAAAATTTTTCAAATTTAAAGGATTTGAAATTTGAATACCTATATGGAAAAATAATGGATAATAATTAAATATTTGTTTCAAAAAATCTATTTAAGTTCAAAATTATTTTTAGTATTAAAGATATTCAAAAAAATGTATTATAAACATATTTTGGAGTTTCAATTATTTTTAGAGTGAACTAAAATATTTTTAGGGTTTGGGAAAAAGTCAAAGTTTTGTTTAAAAATCAGAAAATTCTTTCAATCTTTCATGGAATAATTTATTTTCAGAGTTATTTTTTATGACCGGGAAATGACCGTGAATTTTTTTTATGAAAAAAGTGGCCACCCTGCAGTAATAATACTCTTGAGTTATTGCATTAAAAATTTTTTTTTTTTGAAAATCTAAATTATTATGGAAAAATACCTAATGATTAAATATATTTTTTTAGAAATAGAAAGTACTGATGTTTTTAAATAATTTTACAATTAAAGAAGTCCGCAAATAAATGTATCAAGAACATTTTTTTAAGGAGTATCTGATTAGATAAGAATATTCTGATAAGAATTCTTTAGGATCAGGGAGAAAGTCAGAATTTTATCTCGAAATCAGGGAAAAATAAAATTTTTGTGGCAACCCTCTATCCACTGCTTTGAATTGTTTTTTTCTGAAACTATTTTTGAAGACAGTAAAAATGAGAAATTGGTGTTTTCCAGGTGCTGAGTCCGGCGTTGTCGGTAAACAGTGAGACGTCTCGTTCGCCGAATGTGTTTCCCAACAAGCAAGCAGTGTCGGCGGCCAACAATCACCGGCTGAACTTCTCCGGCTGCCTCTCCGAGGGTAGGGCCGTTCAGAACCAGAACCACGCCACGGAGGCAGTCCCTCGAACCCACAGTTCGAACAAGCGGCTGCGAAAAGGCGACTCGCTCGTCGCAGCGCACGGTCTTCTGCAACCTGGTCCCTCTTGCGCGGACAGTGAGCCGGACCCGAAGAGGCAGCGCCTCAACGGTGACGCCGCCTCGTGCAGCAGCGTAAATTCGCAAGTGCCTAACCCCTCTCTCAGCGAGCAGCTCTCCCAGCACTCGGAGAACTCCCTCACCTCCGAGAGCGTCGCGCCCATCCAGAAGAAGCGCGGCCGCAAAAAGGGCAGCAAGTCCGTCAAACCCAAGCTCATCGAAGACGACATCAAGGAGAAGCTCGCCAGCATCGCGCGCAACCCGAAAGTCAAGACCACCCAGGAGCTGCTGGCCGACCTCCAGGCCCGCGGCTCCAACTCGAGCTTCAACCTCAATCCATTACCTAGTCACAGTATAGAGACGTCGACGGCCGGCGCCGAGAAGCTCTCGAGGAGTGAGGACGCTCCCAAGTCAAAGTACCAAAGCTCCAAGCTCCTCAACAACCTGAGCGAATCTTCCCTGCACGAGCGCCTGTCGCACGACGACGAGAACGACGACGACGACGAGGACGACGAGGAGGAGGACTCGAGGCCGCAGCAGGACGTCACCGTCAAAGACATTCTCGCCAAGCTGCCGCCCCTGGACATCAAGTCCATAGTGTGGAGCGACGAGGAGGACGCGCCGCAGGACGAGAACGGCGCCGAGCCGCCACCGCCGCGCGAGGCGTCCGCCGAGGAGCTCGAGAGGCTGCACGCCGACTGCGTCGAGAGCCTCAACGGCAACTATCAGCCCAAGTTCCTGTCCCTCACCGTGAGGAATAGCGACAGCAAGGACGACGACGCTGTGAATGTAGAGAAATTAGGTCTGTACAGGCGCGCGAACGAAAGGAGCGACCAGGAGTTTCGGGAGTGGCACGAAATGCTCGCGAGGCCGACCTTCGATGGCCAAATCCTCCACATATTGCCTTATGTTATCATCGATTAGTCACTATTGTTGTCCTATTATTTCGATTGACCTTTCCGATTCTAGATTTCGATAGATCGTCAATTCCTCGATGTTTTCTGTGACCCTCTTTCAAACATTCACTATATTGCCTCGCGAGGTATTTCTCGATTTTTTAAGATTTTACCTTTACTTCTTTATTTATATACGCAACGAGCGATTCTCTACAATTATTTATTGCAAGTCTCTATTGCGAGGAGGTGGAGCGCACGAACACCTCATCAAAATTTCCCATTTTTACTAGACGGAATTTTAGAGAAAATTCTCGTACAGCGAATTCTTCGATATTCAATCAACGCGATTTTTCACTCCACGAAAAATAACTCGTAGAATTAAATTATTAATTAAATTATTATTTAAGGAAGAATCAGACATACAATCGGAAGAAAAGTTAATGGCATAATTTCGTTATTTTAAAACAAAAGGTTAAATTAAATTTTTAATTCCTTTTGGTAGAAGCGTGAGGAATTTAATTTTCAACATTTTCAACAATTAAGTTTCGTTTGAATAAAAATTACAATTTTCTGTCAATAAGAAACGATTTGGGTGTAAAGAGAAGAAAAACATTTCTTTGTTTTAACGAATATTTCTTATTGACAAAAAAATTGTAATTTTTATTCAAACGAAACTTAATTGTTGAAAATGTTGAAAATAAAAATATTAACCCTTCTATGAAAATAAATTTTAAATTCAATTTGTCTTTTTCGGTTAAATTACGAAATCATGACATTGGACTAACTTTCCTTTTGACTTTCCGTCAAATTTTTCCTTAACGTAGTTAATTATTTTTCCTTAAAATTCTACGTAACATTTCGTAAAATTTCTAATTGATCCACTTTTTATTTAAGGGAGAATCCGAGAAATAATCATTGAAACAAAAGTTAGTCCGAGATTGTTATTTCGTATTGTAAATGAAGGAAACAAATTATTAATTCACTTTGGTAAAAGAATAAGAAATTTAAACAATTAAACATTGAATTTGAGGATGAATTACAATTTTTCAGCAATGAGAAATAATTTATAGGTATAACAAACTAATTTCGGACAGTAAACCCTAAAAAAATTTTTTTCACAACAAAATATTTTATAAAAAATTTTTTTTTGAAATTTTCTGGTGTGTTTTTTGGCCCCTGCAGATTTTTGAAAAAGAAATATAAAAAAATCAAGGCGGGTGTAATTTTAACTCACTGGAACGTTTGAAAAAAAATAAAAAGTGAATTTTAATCAGCATCGAAATCATACTAAGAATATAACGATTGGTAGTAAATTTTTCGATTCAGAAGAGTGTTTTCGGACCCAAAAATCAGCTAAATTTGAAAAAACGCTACCATTTTGATATTTCTTGACAAACAAATTTTCTTTCATTTCACATACTTAGTAGTTTCGATGCTAATTGAAACCGACTTTTTTTAAATTTTGATGCCCAAAAAATAAGCCAGAAAATTAAAATAAATTTATTTTGTAAAATATTTTATTATGAAAATAAAAAGTTTTATTTAGATATTTCTTTTTATTTAAAAAAAAATGCATTTAAAAAAGTATTTTGTAGGGTTTACTGTCCCGTTAATAAACGTTTTTTTGCAATGAAAAAATTGTAAATTTCATTTAAATTCAAAAATGTTTGTTTAAAATACTAAAAATTAAATTCTTGACCCTTTTGCCAAAACGAGTTTTGAAATTTAATTTGCTCTTCATTTTTAAAAATAGGAAATTATTGGTATTGGACTATAATTTTTCTATTTACTGTCCGAATCTTCCTCAAATAAAATCTAATCTAATCGAAATTTAATCTAACGGAATTTTAGTGAGTCGAAACTTTAAAATGTCAGAATTTCCATTCCATCGAATTTTTATTTGCACGAATTGGCATAAAAATTCTCAAAATAACGAAATATCAATTGGAAGCAATTTCGGCAAAAAGAGTTCGGCTCAAAATTCGAACAAATAAAGATTCGATAGAATGAAAATTTTTGCACTAAAAGTTCGATTCTAAAATTATGTCCTAACAATTTTTTCAAAGGTTTTAATTAAAAAAAAAGAGATACGAACAAATTTTTAACTTTAGAAAAAAGAAAAAATTTTGAGACAAGTATAGAATAAGTGCGAATTTCTTCTCTAAAAAGTAAAAAGCCGAAAGAATAGTTTTTGACGCTTAGTGTCGACGCTAACTTCAACCACATTGCAAATTGTGTTAAATGAAGTTTCTGACAAATTGAAATTCGATTCGATCAAGTTTCTTTTAAGGAGAGGTTTCTTTATATTTTTAACTATATCAAGAAAATGATTTAAATCTTTCATAAAATTATTTTTGTAGTAATTTTTTGAGAGGAATTCAATTGTCATAAAATAAAATCAATCGGAAATTATTCTAATACTGTTTGAATTTTTATTTTTCTTAAAAATTGATGGATTTTAAAATTCATTCGTAATTTTGTAGAAAATACGATTTTGTATCCACAAAAATATTGACGAATGAAAAAATTGATTTTTACAATTTTTGAAGCATTTTTTTTGGGAAAAAACATTGTTTTTAGATTGAAAATGCTAAAAAAAAATACCATTGTTATTCAATTTTTTTGTTTGGAAATTCACTTGTGACACGTTCCCAAGAAAGGTACCTAAGAAGCAAATATTTTAAACTTATGTTTATAATTTTCTGATTAAAAATACAAAAAGAAAATTAATAAGTAGTAAAAATTATTGATGTCTGAAGCTTTATAAAATCCGAAATATTCAATAAAAACTAGTTTCAAATTTACATAATTAAAAGGAATCACTTAATTAAGGTAAAAATAACGTAACCATAACCTTAAAGTGATTTGCTTCTTAGGTACTTTTCTTAAGAGCGCGTATTTTTCTAACTAATTTCAGATCATAATTTTTATATATATATAAAAAATAAAAAATATAAAAACATGATTTAAAATTAGTTTAAAAAAAAACGAATTTTCAATTGAAAAAATGAATAGTAATTGTATTTTTTTTATCATTTTCAGCCTAAAAACAATTTTTTTTTCAAAAAAAATGCTTCAAAAATAGCAAAAATTGAATTCCTCTGAAAAAATTAATAAAAATTTAAGTTTGAATGTAATTTTTGTTTAAACTAACAATTTTCTAAATCCAAACAACCGAAAAATTAAAAATAATAAAAATTTAATTTTATCGAAGATTTAAATCATTATCTTGACATAGTTAAAAATTTAGGTGAAAACTCCCCTTAAATGAAAAGATTAGGAATTAAAAATTTGCCAATTGAAAATTCTGTCAAAAGGAATCAAATAAAAAATTCGGCGACCTCATATTCTCTTGAGTAAAATTTTTACTGAGTAATAATCTTCTGAGCAAAAAACCATGTTCGTTTAAAAAAATGTTTCTAGAACGATGTCCGACAAATATTGTTCCAAAACATTTTAAGAACATGGATGTTCAAATAATGTTCTAGAAAATTATTTAACAGACCTGAAATGATCTAAAAACGTTCTAAGGAAGTTTTCGGAGCGAGCATAATTTTTGCCCACGGAAAATTCGCGTGAAATTAAAATTGAAAGAAAAGCTGTAGGAAAATTCTAATAAAATTCTGTCTAATAAATATTTTAACAAATAATTTTAATGAGATATTCATGCGCCCTGAGGAGGTTTCGACGGACCAACCAAGTCAAAATTGTTGCCGTCCGTCGATTTTGTTCCTCCCTAAAATAATGTGCAATTAAAGTCGAGAAATATTCTGCGAGCAAAATGTCCCAAAAAAATTGTCACGCTTGTCGCACCGATCAGCAGTGTTGAGAAAAAGGGGCGTCGTACACTTGCACCAATGGAGAAAATTAAAACTAAAAAAAAGAGAAAAAAAACGGTTTTTTTTCTAACAGAGAACGTGTGTGTCCCGCTACGTTGCAGATTTTCTGGGTCTTTAAAAAAGACGTTTTCTACGTATCAGATTTTCTACGTTCGACGCAATTCTTGTTTATCATGCCATAAAATTATAAGTAGATGAAATCTACAAATTTCGTCTGTGCAAATTCCAAGTACGAAGCACATTATTGCAGATTACAAGTTTCGTGTCGCTTTTGTGTCGGGGATGATTGATTCTAGTTGTGAAATGGTAAACGTTGTTAAACTTTTGCTTTACTTTTTTCGACTATATTTGTAAATAGTACGTTTTTAGTATAAAGGGTATCATAATCGAGTAAAAAGAAAAGAAAAAAGAAAATAAAAACAGACTTTATATTCTTATAAGTTGGTTGAAAATTATTCTCGAACAATGCGTAACAATCCAAATAAGCGAGTTTAAAACAATTTCCATTTTTGCTCAAATCGAAATTTTTCGCTCTTTTTGATTTGATTTTTTGATTGAAATTATTATTTTTCTTTAGTTTTTATAATTATTTTTTTGTGTGCAAAATACGTTGGGGAAATTATTGACATTATTTTGCTGATTTTAGGAATTATGAAAAAAAGAATGGGAATTTATTTACGCATGGTTCGAGATGTATGTATTTATGCTGATTTAGGACTTTATGAGAGAGAGAAAAAAATATTATTTAGCAGATTGTTTAGTAAAAGATGAGAGAGAGAGAATATGTGAAAAAAATTGTTATCTGCAAAAAGAGAGAGAAAAAAAAAAAATAACTGAAAGGAAAGTGGGAACAATGGAGTGTATGTGCAAACATTATTTGCGATATTCTATATGTGCCGAGCTAGGAGCTGCCTAAAGATTTAGTGTATTTCCTAAAATCAACATAAGGTGCCTTTTTCATTACTTTTCTTACCGATTCTCTAATCGTTGATATCGAGTTGAATTGAATTTTATTTTGAAAACGAATAAATTTAGCGTCTACCCAAAGCGATTGCACCACGATGATCTATTTCTTGTTACCTGAAATTTTGTATAATTTTCAAATAATATATTATGTCGAAATTGAAGGCATCAATTGAAGATGATGGTCAAGTTATTATTTTAAAGTTTGAAAACAATTGATTTATAGTTTAAGTGTTAAAATTAATATTATTTTGTATTTTGTCTAGGTTTAGAGAAACTTCTTGTTTTGTTTTTCCTTGAGATATTGTTAGCCAAAAAAAAGGGGAAATTCGATTGATCCTCGTCGTGATGTATTCGGATGGAAATTTACCGTTTCTTTCAGTGAATTGTTTTTTTAATGAAACTAAACATCTTTTGGATTCTCCTGGTAATGCACATTTGTCTCAAGTTTGAACAATATCAATATAATATATTGATTCAAATTGTGAATAAATATTTTCATATTTGATTAGCGAGATATTTGTTTGTTTTTATATACAACACACTTCTTTGTCTGATTTTTCTCAAATGTTATAGGCGATAATCATAATGGAATCCCCCATGAATCGTTACGACGCCTCTCTGAGAAATGAGAATAAAATAAATAATGAAGAATCGTATAGGGTTTTTTTAAAAGGGTCTCGTAAATTATTGTCAGTCGTTTATTTTTAATCCAATTTTAACTGCCTTACCTCACCGCCATGTGAATAAGAAAATATATTATTGAAAAAAAAGAAAAGAATCTGAAAATATTTTAGGTTTATCACTATTCTGAAAGAAGACTGAATAGTCATTATACCATCAATAATTTTTACAACCAGTTTATCTGGAAAGAGAAAATGACCCATATGTGCATTAATGTATATCACAAAATAAACTTCTTAAATAATTGTTCTAAAAGAAATAAAATCTTTAAATTCATGTTTTTTGCGTTTCTGCTTTTGTCAAATTAAAGCAAAATATTTTCATCAGACCCTTTTTTAACCCTTTAAAGTTTAAACCAGAGCGAATCTTTTTTTACTTTTTTTAAAACCTCATTTTAAACACCAAAACTCTATTATTAAAATAAAAACACTAAAGAAAGTACAGGGCTCGAACTAGGTCTGTAAATCCCGCAAAGGTCCGTAAATTTACTTCAAGTCCGTAAAAGTCAGTTTTTTTTAAAAAAAGATCCGTAAAGTCCGTAATTTGGTTGAACTAGAACGAAAAGTTCGTCAATTGTGTGATACAATTTGGAGAATTTTGAAGACGTTACAAATGATTGCAGAAATTTAATTACTTTCAAAAGTGATAAAATATTCTTCCTAGAAATTCAATTATATTCAAAATTTTGTTTAAATTCTCGTCAAAATTTCAATTATTTTTATAAATAATAAAATTTTTTTTCTGAAATTCAATTATTTTCAAAAGTTTTTTTTAAATTCTTGTCAAAATTTGAATTATTTTCAAAAATTTTAATAAAATTCTTTGCAAAATTTCAATTATATTTTCGAAAATATTCTTGAATTCAATGATTTTCGATATTTACACAATCTTAATAAAATTTTCTAAACGAAGACAATTATTTAAAAAAAAAGTTTAATAAAATTCTACGCAAATATTTAATTATTTTTATAAATAATAAAAATTTCACATGAATTAGATTATTTACAAATTTTTTATTTTCCTTAATTAATAATTCCATTATTTTCATAATACAAAATTTTTACAGAGATTCAATTGTTTTTATAAATAATGAAATTCTTTCTTGAAATTAAATTATTTTCATAAATAATAAAAACTCATCACCCAATTTCAATCATTTCAATAAATAATTTATTTTTGTGTTTAAATAATTGAATTTTTATAGATTCCTAGACAATAATTGAATATTAAAATCATTCTAACATAAATTTTTAGAAATAATTAAAGTTTGAACAGTTGAAAAAGTTTCAAATTAAAATCTTTGAAAATCTGAATTTTTCATACTTTTTAATTAAAAATTCTGTAAAACTGATTTGTTTTGCAAAATTTTAATTATAATTCTTTTAAAATCAGTTGAATTGTTTAATACTTACTTAATTATTAAAAATAATGGATTTATTGAAGAATTTTAGTTAAAAACACTAAAAAAAATTGAATTTTGGAAAAGTTACAAATGATTACAGAAATTTCAATTATTTTGAAAAATTTTAACAAAATTCTTGGCAAAATTTCAATTATATTCGAAAATTTCCTTCAATTAAATGATTTTCAATATTTACTATTTTAATAAAAATTTCCAAATGAAGACAATTATTTTAAAAAAAATAATAAAATTCTACGCAAACATTTAATTATTTTTATAAATAATACAAATTTTAAAGGAATTCAATTATTTAAAACTTTTTTTTATAAATTTCTTCGCAATAATACAATTATTTTTATAAATAATACAATTCTTTTTAGGAATTCAATTATTTTCATAAAAAATAAAACTCATCGCAGAGTTTCAATTATGTTTAATACAATTTTAATGGAATTCCTTAAAAAATCTAATTATTTTTAAAAATTTTGTTAAAACTCTTCAAAAGAATTAAATTATTTAAAAATTTGTTGATAAAATTCTTTATGAGAATTCCATTTTAAGAAACATTCAATTATTCAATAAATAATTTTTTTGTTTTTAAATAATTGAATTCTAGTGGAATTTTCTGTAATAAAAATTGATTTAAAAATGAGTTTCAGTTAAAATTTTAGATTATAATTGAATATTAAAAGTATTATAGCGTGAATTTTTAGAATTGAATTTTAAAAAGATTTCAAATTAAAATCTTTGAAAATCTGAATTTTTCATATTTTTAACTGACAATTCTGTGGAATTATATTTTTCGAAAAAGTTTAATTGCCTTTTTTTAAATTATTTAAAGTTTTTATTTTCTAATATATATTTAATTAAAGAATTTCCGAATAATTAAAATTTTGTAAAATTAAATTGTAAACAAATGAATTTGAAAATTCTCAAAGAATTTCAATAGAATTTCTGGAAAAATGTAATTATTCTAAAAATTTGATTAAAATTCGTCCAAAGAATTTAATTATTTAGAAATTTGTTTATAAAATTCTTTATGAGAATTTAATTTTAAGAAATATTCAATAAATTATTTATTTTTATATATTTAAATAATTGAATTCTTATAAAAATTGATTTAAAAATTAATTTCAATAAAAATTTTAGGTAAAAATTGATTATAGGTATGAAAAGCAATATAGCGAGAATTTTTATAAATATGTAATTGAATTTTGAAATTTATTTTATTAAAAAAGTTGAATTGAATATTTTTTTGAAATTATTTCAATTTTTTATTTTCCAAGAGTATTTAATTGAAGAGTTTCCGAATAACCGAAATTTCGTAAAATTGAATTGTAAACAAATGGTTTTTAAAATTCGCAAAGAACTTTTCCAAAAATTATTAAAAATAATTGATTTAAAGAAGTTTAGTTAAAATTAAAAATTGTAGAAAATAATAATAATTGAATTGAAATGATGAAAATAATTTTTACAGTAACAATATTCTTATAATATAAAATAATAATTTTATCTTTCGGACATCTTTAATTATTATAAAACATGAAGAAATTTAATTTATAGTTTTAGGTAAAATGTTCTCTTATTTGACTCAGACTGGTTCGATCCCTATTTTTTTCGAAAAATAATTCCAAATTAAATACTCAATTTTTTCCTATTTTTAAACAATTGCAAAAATAAAAAATTCAACTTTTTTCATCAAGTTCATGAACTCATTTTTTTACAGCATTACATGTAGGTTAAAACAATTTTTAATCAAGAACAGTATTCTTAAACCTTTTAACTTCCTCCGCATGATTAATATTTAAACGATTTAAACAGCATTTATTTATTATTTATTCCGAACACTAATCGAAAGTAGGTACTTAACCGGCCTCACGACTTATTTTCTTATTCCTAAAAAAGAACAAAAATTTCTACTTTCTTCAGATTCTTATTAAAAATTAGACCCAAAATATAACCATACTTATTTTTTTTCCTATTTTCTACTCAAAATTATTTTTTTGTTTATAAAAAAAGGCTGAGATCCGAGTGATGGAGTGTATGGACTATGGAGTGACCTCAATATATATGTGTGCTTTTGTCACGTGACTCTTGAATAGAAATTTATTTTTTTATGTGAAAAATACTAAAGAGGTATAAGTTCAAAGATATGGAAAAGTATAAGAAATACTGCAGACTTGTAGAATTTAGAAACTTTAGACGAAATTGTATAAAAATATATCAAATTATTATATTATGCGAAACACGAAATAAAACATAACCTATAAATTTGTCGTCATTACTATACATTTTTTTGCTATATTAAGAGAGGGGGGAAAGCGAGAAGGAGAAGCAAATTCGATTATTGTTTCGAAAATTACTTTTCATAATTTTATAAAGAGAGATAAAAAACTAAGAAATTCCGTTTAATCTAAAAAAATGTCGCAAATTGAATCATAAAAGAGAAAGAATTATTTTTCTTTTATAATAATAATTTTAATTCAAACATCGATAGTGAAGATCGATCGATCGATCTCTGCCGGCAATCGAGTTTTATCTCGATTCGCGAGTTTTCGATAATGGCTTCCCAGAAGAAGGCTGGCCGCAGATAATCTCGTGTTTCCCGCCAAGTTCCGGCGGAGGCGTGCACATTTTTAGGCGCCAAGTGATACACGCTTGTTACTTTGTCCCCATATTAACAACGTGTACCAGTAATTGTTGATTTACAATCCTCCCTCAATACAGTTTGTTTCCTCAAAGAAAACAAGTCGAATTTGCCGAAAAGGAGGGAGACGCGGGCTGTGTATCCATGTTCTCGCGATGTGCCGTGAATGTTTTTTCTAGAACACGTTCAGCCGTACGTGAAATTTCTTATTGCAGTGCTGAATTTTGAACTTATGGATTATTTTGAATAACCGGCAAAATGTTAAGTGTTGCTACAGCATCGTCAGCCGTACATTGTTCTGAAGCAGCAAAATCCTCATCGAATCATTCCGGTTTGGGTAAGTAGGTTAACATGATTTCCGCTATTTCTAACACATTTATTATTGTCTATTAGTCGAAAACGCCTGAAAACGATTTTTCCTTGACGATAATTTTTACCCCTCTAAGCCCATTGCACATTATTATCATTAAAGCGGGTAATTACCCCTCTAAAAGTATCACACGAGGTGTCAAATATTTTCGATTTCTAGACGTATATACATTATACCTATATATATAGATATATACATAAAAGTAGTGTTATGTTCCCGGTATTACTTAATTCTACTAATTTTTCCGCAAGGTCAATGACATTCAGTCGTGACGTATTCAGGATTTCTTGCAAAATAATTTATAATTCTTCATTTATGTCTCACTAATCATTTTACAGGCATTTCTTAGTTTTAGAGGTGATGTTTAAGTGCCCAACTAAAAACAATATGGCAATAAATTTACCGCTAATGTCTCGTGATATTTGATCGATAGTTTCTTTTTCTTTGTTACTCAAAGTTTCTACTTGATTCAATTTTCAATTGTCATTTCTTTTTTTTTTTTCTTTCTAAAATAATATTTTTACTCAATTTTTTTAGCCTATAATTAATTATTACTTATATTTTAATTAAAATATCTTCTATATTAAAAATCGTTGTAATCCGGTAATCTATTCGCAGTTTGAAGTTAGTTACTTTTGTTTGCTTTTTGTTTCCTAATTTTTTTTTTTGATAATTTTTCTTTTTAATGTTTTGAATTTAAAAATTAATGAAAAACTTTAATTTATTGATTTTTGAAGATTAAAAAAATACCGAAAATTAATTAAATCAAATTGTTTTTAATTAAAAATAATTATTTTATAATATTTATAAATATAAATATTATATTATTTATAATAATATATTTTTTATTTCTTTAATAATTTTGAATCTGAAATAATTGAATTGAAAGACATTTATTCCAATTTTCCGAAAAAATTTAATTTCTTGCGAAAAATATAAATAAAATCTTTAAAATTATATTAATTCTTACGAGAAATTATTTAATTAAAGAAATATTAAAAATATTTAAATTATATTATAAAGAGTTTTTTCAAAATTATTGAATTTCTAAGGGGAATGTTACAATTAACATTTTTTTAAATAATTGAATTCTTTCGAGAAATGTTATTAATTATGAAAATAATTGTAATCTTAGTGGAAATTTTATTAAAATTGTATTTTTAATAAGTGAATTCTTATAGAGAATTTTATTATTTAGAAAAAAAAGAGTGAAACTTTTTCAAAGTGTTTAATTAAATTTTTGTCTTACAAAGAATTATATTAAAATTTTTCAAAATAATACAATTTTTGCAATGAGATTTATTAAAATTCTTTAAAATTTTTAAATTCCTGTGAAGAATTTTATTAATTATGAAAATAATAATTAAATTCTAAGAAATAATTCTATCAAAATTTTCCAAAGTAATTGAATTTCTGCGAAAAATTTTATTAAAATTCTTTACTTTGATTAAATTCCTGCGACATATTTTATAAATTATGAAAATAATTGAAATCTTACTAAGAATTTTATTAAATTTTCGAGAAATATAATCATAATTTTAAAAAATAATTTAATTTTTGAGAAGAATTTTATCGAATTTTTTAAAAATAATTTCATTTTTTTGAAAAATTTTATTAAATTTGTATTAAAAATAATTTAATTTTTGCAAAATATTTTATACATTATGAAAATAATTAAAACTTTGATAAAAATTTTACTAAAATTTTCAAAATAATTGAATAAATAAGAATTTAATCAAAATTTTTCAAAATATAATTAAAAATGGAATTTTTGCGAAAAATTTTATCAAATTGTTAAAAATAATTCAATTCTTTTGAGAAATTGTATTGAAAATAATTAAAATCGTGCTAAAAAATTGTTAAAAATTTTCGAAAATAATTGAATTTTTTCAAGAAATTTAATTAAAATTGTATTAAAAATATTTCAATTCTCATAAAGAATTTAATCAAAATTTTTGAAAATAAATGATTTTTTGCGAAGAATTTTGTAGAACTGTGTTAAAAATAATTGAATTCCTGCAAAATATTTTATAAATTATGAAAATAATTGAAATTTTGCTAAGAATTTTATTAAAATTTTCGAAAGTAATTGAATTTTTCCGAGGAATTTAATTAAAATTGTATTGATACTATTTCAATTATGATATGAATAATTGAATAAAAAATTTTCAAATCAATTGAATTTTAGTAAAAATTAAACATTTTATCAAATGTTTAAAAATAATTGTATTCCTTTGTTACATAAATTTAATTTTAATGAAAGTTTATTAAAAATAATAATTGTATTTCTATGCGAAGAATTTAATTAAGTTTTTGGAAAGAATAAATAATAATAATAATTAATGAGTTAATTAGTTAACAATTGAATTAATAAATAAAATTCATTTACTGATATTTATTAATTTTTTACCCACTTTTTTATAATTAAATATTTAATAAATTTAGTTAATTAATTATTTTAATTCAAATAAAATAGAGTGTTTATAATTTGGCCTAATGGCCAAATAAATATAAAACATCTTTTTTCTAAAAATTTTAATATTCTATTGGAATAATAGGTAAGAAAAATTTCACGAATACATTCGGACAAGTGGTTTTTGAATACAAAAAGTACTCTAACGTTTCGAAATTAATACGATTTGCTCTTTAGGGAGTCAATAAATAGAAAGTTTTATATTACATATCGAAGGAATGAATTCAATATTCTATATTTATTATTGTTCAAGTAAATGTGAAAGAAGTTCGAAGAAAAAAATTTGAGTGGATTACGATTTTAATGACTAATATGTATTTATTTTGAATTGCAGGGAACTCGTCGAGTTCTTGGAATTCGGATCACACATCGTTGAAGCGTAAACAAAGTCCCATTAGAGACTTGACCAGTGATTATGGCTTCAGTTCAGAAATCACTCTGACGGTGGTGACGAACGATGCGAACGGATACAAACGTCAACGCAGAGACAGCGAAAAGAGTCTCAACTCCAGCGTCACGCTGAGATACAAGGACCCCAAAACCAAGGCACCGACAGAGAAAATGCTCGACAACAACGTGAGGCACTCGTTCGACGCCTCCAGCGAACTGTCCACTTGTCCAAAAGAGTCGAATGATTGCTACCAGAGGTTCAACAGACCCGAGATCACAATTTACCAGAAGAAGGAGAGCGAGAAGCAACCCCCACAAGCGGTCGCCTCGACGTCCTCCAAGGCGGCGGCAGTTACTCATCAAGGGGCCGAATGTTCTCGAACCGTCTTCAAGGTTTCAAGGGAAGTCGACATCATTTCCCCGAAGTCGAGCCAGAAGGTGATCGAGGCTGCCATAAAACAAGTACCTGACCACAATGACAACACCTCCCCGAAGAGTTCAAGCAAATTTGACGCAAACAACAATCCAAAGACGCCAATAACCCGGAGGCTGAACAATGCCCTGGCCCTCCTGCAGAGCCTGGATAAGCCGTCGACTTCCACCCCCGCGAAGGCCGCGGTCAGTGACAAGCTGCCGATTCTGCGGTCCACTTCCAGGGAGAAGATCGACAACAACAATCAGTGGAGCGAGGAGATTTTCACCACTGACAACTGCATGCAGAGCATCTCGTCCTCCATCCCCTTCTCGGACATTGAGAATGACTTCGACAATTCCTATTACACAATGGGTTTCCCCAATCCTCCGGGAGAAAATAGATGCTGGGTCAATGCCACCGTACACGCACTTTTCGCTCTGCCTTTCACCGACAGTCTCGACCGCATGAATCTCTCGGAATGCACGTCATTGATGAAAACTCTTATTCTCATGCAAGCCCTTTGGAGAAAGGGGGAGAGCGAGAAGCACAATATATACAGTATGCTGAGGTACGTCAACTTCACAACAAATCAATAATAATAATAATAATAATAATAATTACTGACAAGAGCAATTCACGTAAAAAAATCAAGTAAAAATTGTCATTTTTGGGAGAAACGTATCAAAATTGTTGCGGTGCAACGTTTCCAAACGTTTTATATCTCAATTTGATATTCTTAGAAAAAATTGGGTAATTTAAACAAAACTTAGGGGAAAAAAAGTCAGGGATTTTTATTAAAAGCACTGGAAAAAATTAGAGAATAAGTTTTAGAATTTATAAGAAAATTCTGAATTTTGGTGTCTTTTTTGTTTGCCTCACAAACTATAAAATACAAAACTTTCAATTTTTTCTGTTTCTGACAATAATTTATTTTTCAATAACGTAATTCTTCAAGAACTATCATAAAATTATTACTTAGAAATTATTTAATGAATAATTTTATTACTTAAAAATTTTCAAAATTAATTAGATTTCAAAAGAGTTCCGTTTCAAATCTGCATAAATAGATCAACTTCAAAGGGTTCAATATGAAATCTTTAAAAATTTCAATTTTTAAATGAATAGAAATTTTAAGAACAACTGATTACAGAACTTTAATTATTTTCAAAAATTTATAAACATTCTCGTCAAAATTTCAATTATATTTATAAATAATACAATTCTTCTGCGAAATTCAATTATTTTCAAAAAATTTAATAAAATTCTTGGCAAAATTTCAATTATTTTCAAAAATTTTCCATATTTCAATTATTTTCAATATCTACTATTTTAATAAAATTTTCCAAAAGAATTTCAATTATTTAAACGAAATTTTAATAAAAATTTCACAGGTATTCAATTACTTACCAATTTTTTATAAATTTCTTCGAACCAATTCAATTATTAATTTTTTAATGAAGTTTCTCGAAAGAATTCAAAAATATTTAGAGAATTGAAAAAATATGTAGTTCTAAGAAATTCAATTATTTTGAAAAATTTTAAATAAAATTCTTTTAAAAATTCAATTCTTTAATACATGTTGTCAAAATTCTTTACAAGATTTAGTTAATAAAATTGCAATTTTAATAAAATCTTCCTATTCAATTCAATTATTTTCAATACAATTCTTCTTCAGAATTCAATTATTTTCACAAATAATACATTTTTTTTTATGGGAATTCAATTATTTGAAAAGAATTTGAATAAAATTCTTCGTAAGAAATCAATTATTTTTATAAATTCAATAAAATTTTTCTCGAGAATTCAATTTTTTCAAAAATTTTAAGATAAAATGCTTTATAAATTTTAAAAATTATAATAAAATTGACTATAGAATACAATTATTTTCGTAAAATATAACATTCCTTATAGGAATTACAATTTTACTGTCAAAAATTTCAAAATTCAATTATTTTCTTAAAAAATAAAATTCTTCGAAGCAATTCAATTATTTAAGAAATTTTAATTAAATTCTTACAAAGAATTCAATTTTTTTCAAAAATAAAACTTTTCACAAGAATTCAATTATTTAAAAAAAAAATTTATTAAAATTCTTCGTCAGATTTCAATTATTTTCAATTTTTTAATGAAATTTTGTCGATGGAATTTCATTATTTTCAAAATGTTATAAATAAAAAAATTCTGAGAAATTCAATTATTTAAAAAATTTGACTAAAATTCTTCACAAGAAATTAATTTAATATCATTAATAATAATTTTTTTCTCCGGAATTCAATTATTTTTACAAATAAATTTCATCACAGGAATTCAATTCTTTAAAAATTCTTTTAATAAAATTCGACTTATATTAAAAAAATGCGACTTTTTCGACTTTTCTTCTAAATTTTGCAACAAAATACCACATTTTTTTAGTATAAAATGCAACCTATTTCGATTTTTATATAGTGTGAAAAGTATAACTATAAACAAATGTTTGAAAAGTTACTTTGTGAAAATTTTTCTAATTAAATTTTTAAAATATGCAATTAAAAAGATTTTGAATAATTGAAATTTTGTAAAATTTAATTAAAAATAATTATTTTTTTCAAGTATTTTGTTAGAATTTTTAAAAATCAACTTTTGAAGAATTTTAATTGCAAATTTTAAAAATAATTGAATTCTCAAAAATTTTAATGGAAAATCTTCAATTGTAAATTTAATAAAAATGAAAATTAGGTTGTAAAAATTTTTAAAACAACTAATTCTCAGAATTTTTTTATTCTAATTTTTAAAAATTTAATTACTTTCAATATTTTTAAAAATTCAAATAAATACAAAAAAAACATTAAAATTTTTTTAGAATCATTTTTAACATTTTGGAGAAAATAATCATATTCAAAATTTTCAATTAAAATTCTTTAAAAAATTAATTTTTTTTAAAATTATACAAAACTTCTTTTTAGAAATTCAATTAATTTTCGAAAAATTACATTAAAATATTTATAAAAAACTAATTCTTCAAATTGTTTTATCATGATTTTTAAGATTCAATTACCTTCGAACAAAGTAAATTAAAATGTTTTTAAATTTACTTTTTTAGACTTATTAAAATGTCGGAGAAATCATTTATAATTAAAATTCTTCAAAAATTTGATTATTTTTTAATTTATATTTTTTAAAAACTTAATTATTTTGAAAAGATTTTATCAAATTTCAATTATTTTTTAAAGATTTTACCAAATTTCAATTTTTTCAACATATTTTTATTGTCAGGGTGGCCGCATGTCAGTAAAGTCTGGGAAATATCAAGAAAAAAATTTTTTGTCAGGGAAATTTAGAAAATTGAGGTTTTTTTCGACTTATTTTTAAAAATTGCGACTTTCTCGACTTTTCTTCCAAATATTGCAACAAAATATCATATTTTTTAGTATCAAATGTAACTCATTTCGATTTTTATAGTGCGAAAAATAAATATAAACATATTTTTCAAAAATTGTTTTTTAATCATTTTTCTATTTAAATTTTCGAAGTATACAATTAAAAAAATTTTAAATAATTGAAATTTTGTAAAATTTAATTAAAAATAATTAATTTTTTTCAAGTATTTTGTTAAAATTTTTGAAAATCAACTTTTAAAGAATTTTAATTCCAAATTTTGAAAATAATTGAATTATCAAAAATTTTAATGAAAAATCTTTAAACGTAAATTTAAAAATGAAAATTAGCTTTTAATTTTTTTAAATTTAGTATTTTTAGTACTTTCAATTACATAATTTTTGAAAATTCAGTACAAAAACTCTTAAGAAATTGAATTGTTTTCGAAAAATTACATTAAAATATTTATAAAAGCTACTTAATTCTTAGAACTTTTTTTATCATAATTTTTTAAGATTTAATTATCTTTGAATAAAGTAAATAAATATGTATGTACTTTTTTTGAGTTATTAAAATTTCGGAGAAATCATAGTCATATTTTCAATTTAAATTCTTTAAAAATTTGAATATTTCTATATTTTGAAAATATTATACCTTTAAGAAAAAAACATGGACAGTTACAATTATTGTAAAAAATTGAATTTTTGTATTTAAATAATTTAATTCTCAAAGAACTTTCGAGAAATTATTTAAAATAATTGATTTAGAGATGAAGTTTAGTTGAGAATTATAGAAAATATTTGAATTCAGGAAGGGTTATAATTGTAATTGTTAGAAATTATTAAATTTCATGAATTTTACTCATTTTCCGTAAACTTTCATATTTTCCTGTGAAAAAAATTTTGTCAGAAAAAATAATTTTAATGTCACTAAATTGTCATGGAAATGTCAAGGAAATTGATAAACTGAAACTTGTGACCACTCTGAAATCAATAAAAATAATAATAATTGAGGCTCCTGATCTTAATAGGGCACTTTCAGCATTGATTTTAAATGGTAAAAGTGCCCTTTTAAGATCCGGAGCCTCAATTAGGAACCAAAAAGATTGCAAAATTAGTATTTTTGTTTAAAGTTTTAAATTCAAAAAAGTTAAAAAGAATAAATATGTTTCAGAGATAATATAATGAATATCAGAATATAATAATTATTAGTTGTTGTTTATTTGACAAGAGTTTGAAGCACAAATCTTCAAACAAAAATTTTATAAATATGTAAAAATTGATTAAAGTTAGCTTCAAAAAATTATAATAAAATTTTTTTTTAAATGTAATTCTTAGAATTTTCTCATCATAGTTTTTTAAAAACTAATTATTTTCAATATTTTCAACTGCGTATTTCCGAAAATTCAAATATCTACAAAAAATAATTACATTGAAAATTTTTCAAAAATTTTAATTTTTTAGTTAAAATTTTAGAAAAATTAACAATCTTTTTTAAACTATTTAATTGAAATTCTTTAAAAACACTGATTTAGTTTTCGAAATTTTCTAAAACATCTTTTAAAATATTACAATATTTTTCAAAAACTAATTCTTAGAATTTTTTACTAGAATTTTTTTAATGTCAATTGTTTTCAAAAAATAAATTAAAATTAAAGAAAATATTGTTCGACGCCCAGTGTCGACGCCAACTTCAGGGACCTCAATTATTGATAAAAAAATCCAATTAGCTACAAATTTGCTTTTCACGTTTATTTTTTTATCACCTTAACGGGAAAGAATTCACCTTTTTCAAAGAAAAAAATCTCTGAATATATTTTAAAAATTGTTTAAATATATATATATAATAATAAGAAAATCATTTTCAGGAAATTCAAAGAAGAGTTAATAGTTTTAGACGACTCTTACCCATCTGAAAGGCAGCAGGATGTGTCTGAGTTTCTAATGAAATTACTGAACCATTTTAAAACGTTTTTCGAGAAGAGAGAATCGAGTGAGGCAAAAATACAAGAGATCGAAAATATGCCGGAAAACCCACAGGACCAGAGAAAATCAAAGACAACTCCTGACTCAAGTAAACGCCGACCCCTAGTGGAACTGAGAGAGAACAGCAATCTTTTCGAACCTGGTGCGAGTCAGAAGTCAAACAAAGTTGAAAGGCTACCGAACGGCGTTGAGGATTCAAAGGAGAATTTGGACGAGTCGATAAAGAATCCTGTGGACGACTACTTCCTACTTCCAATCGTGGACCAGTATTCTTGCAAGGGATGCAGTGAGAAGAAACAAAAGCGCGTTGACAATTTGGTTGTTTTCATTCAAGTACCACCAGAGAGTAAGGACGTGCCCGTCAACGTGGAGGATGCGATTGCTCGGAATTTCACAACCGAAGAGAGGAGGGTAACTTGCGATCATTGCAAGCACAAATTCCAGGATGTGCGAACGGCTTTCAGCAACTATCCTAAAGTCCTCACAGTTCACGTTCATCGATACGGAATTGGCGAACACGGCACCAGGAAAATTAGCAACGCACTTAGTATTCCAGAACAACTTGTACTTAAACCCTCTCTTATGTGAGTATTATTTTGCATTTTCACTTTCGCTTCACTTCAAAAATAGTATTTATAACTAATTTATTAATTCAACTTGCTGTCAAAAGTTACTTACTTTCTCTTACTATAGTTTGTCCCAAAAAATCTTTCATGCCACTTTTGCAACTACATATTCTTCATTTCATCCGGCAGCTAATTTTAAAACTGAATTTAATTTTTATACTTTACTTTTGTTCTACACAAATTTTATTTTGGCACTTAATTCTTTTTCTAGAACTCATTCAATATATTTTTAAAATCATGTTCAGATTTCACAATAAATCCATGCTTCGCACTCATCTACTAAAACCTACTATTTACTACTTTTTCTTACGTTATGCTACTATTTGGATACTTTTTTAGATTTCAATTTTTCAGATTCAATTATTTTCAAAAAATATTACAAATTCAATTATTTTCAATATCTAGTATTTTCATGAAATTTCGCAAAACAATTCAATTATTTTAAAAAAAAAATTGATAAAATTCATCCAAAATTCAATTATTTTCATAAATAATAAAATTTTCACAGGAATTCAATTAATTAAAAATAGCATTTTCGAAAAAATCAATTATTTGACAAAATTTTTATACAATTCTTCACAATAATTCAATTACTTTCACTGATAATAACTTTTTCATGGAAATTCAATTTTTTTTTTTAAATTTGTTAACAAAATTCTAAACAAGAATTCAATAATTTTCATAAATAATAAAACTTATCAAAGAATTTAAATTATTTTTAATAATAATATAACTAATACTACTTTTAAAATTCTTATGAAGAATTCAATTATTTTCAAAAATAACAAAATTTTTCACAGAAATTCAATTCTTTTTAAACATTTTAATAAATTTTTTCACAATAATTCAATTATTTTCATAAATAATAAAATTCATCGCAGGATTTCAATTATTTTTAATACAATTTTAAAGAAATGGCTCAAAAAATGGAATTAATCTTAAAAATTTGATTTCAATTCCTCGAAAAAATCAATTATTTACAAAAATATTAGAATATTTCACAGAAATTCAATTATTTTCAAATATTTTAATAAAAGTGTTCGAAAGAAATCAATTATTTTAAATACAATTTTAATTAATTTTTTTTTTAAATTCAATTATTCTTTTAGATTTTAATAAAATTCTTCCCAAGAATTCAATTATTTTTTACATAAATAATTCTTCGAAAGAATTCAATTATGTCGATAACTAACAAAATTATTTCCAAAAATTCAATTAATGAGTTTATAATGCCTCAATAATAAAATCAATAATTTAATTAAAATTATTGATATAAAATTAAACTCTTTTAAACAATTTTATTTATTATTTTATTTTAATAATTTTAATTGGAAAATTTTAAAATCATTGAAATTTACAAAGAATTTTGTCAAAAGCTTTTGAGAATAATTGAATTTTTTAGAAAAATTTTATTAAAATTCCTCGTATCTACGAACTTATGTAAATTTTTTTCGAAATACATAATTGAATTTGTATTTTTATAAATTTTATTCTTTTATTATTATTTTTATCTATTATTTTTATAAATAATAAAAGTTTAAAAATTAAATTTCAAAAGATTCTTCAATTGAAATCTTTGAAAATTTTAATTGAAAAGCTGTAATAACATTTAAATTTTTTATTTCGAAATACATTCGATTCAAATTTTAAATAATTTTGTTTTTAAAATTTCAATATACAAATGATTTCAATTCCTCGAAAAAATCAATTATTTAAAGAAATATTTCTTTAAAATTCTTTGAAAGAATTCAATTATTTACAAAAATATTATAATTTTTCAGAGGAATTTAATTATTTTAGAAAAAAAAGTTAATAAAGTACCACACAGACATTCAATTATTGTCAAAAATTTTAATAGAATAATTCTTTGTAAAATTCAATTGTTTTTAAAAACTTTTCGCAATTCAATGATTTTCAAGATCTACTATTTTCATAAAATTTCCAAACTGAATTCAATTACTAAAAATTTTTTTGTATAAGTCTTAGTAAGGGATCGTTCACAAACTACGTCACACTCCTAAGGGTGGATAATAAAAATTTCTCAGGAATTCAGTTATTTAAATTAGAATTGGCATAAAGTTAGTCGAAAGAAATCAATTAGGGAGCGTTCACAAATGATGTCACGCTTTTGGGGGTAGGGGGGGGGGGTGTCATACTAAACGTGACACAATGTATTTTTCTCATGTGAAATTGCAAAAATTGCGTGACAGGGGTAGGGGGGGGGGTGAAAATCTCTAAAAATTGCGTGACATCATTTGTGAACGCTCCCTTATTTAAAATTTTGTATAAAATTTTTGGTAAGAATTAAATTATTTTTATAAATAATTAAATTCTTACATAAATAATAAAATTCGTTGCAGAAATTCAATTTACTTTCAGGATAAGAAAGAAGTAAATATTCTTGATGAAAATAGAATGGAATTTTTGTCAGTTTTGTGAAGTATCTAAAACGAGTTTCTCTGGTGGTCCAGTTTAATTTTTGAATACCTACTTTTTTAGTTTAAAAGCTACTTTTTTCTACTTTTTTAAAATTATTTTATTTACTTTTTTTTAATTATCGAGTGCGAAGTCTGAAAAATCTATAAGAAACATGCAGTGCCATTTTTTTTTTCAAAAAGTAGTTAAAATTTGGGCCAAAAAATCAAACTTTTAGGACAAAAGGGAATAATTAATTTATTAATGGACATATTTTTTAACCAATAATTTTACTTTTATCGAACTCTGTATTTAATATGAAAATTCGAATTCTTTATCAAAAACCGAGCCAACTTTACTTGATAAAAATAATTTAAGGTTTTTCTAAACGTATTAGAACATTTTTTCTAACTTTTGTGTTTAATTAATGAAGAAATTGCTTCAATTTGAAAATTGTCCAAATACTAATAATTATTTTTAAAAAATAAAAATGTTCTGTTTGTAAATATTGTGTATAATGAAAAACTATTTTTCTTTTTAGGATCGAAGGCTTCGACGCCGATGAAATATATAAGCCCGTCTGTATAATTTCACATGTCGGTGAAAATGTGGACTGCGGACATTACACAAGTTACGTCGAACACGAGGGACAGTGGTACTACTACAACGACATGTCCGTCTCTCCCATGACGAGCAGTCAAGTCTTTGCAGCAGCTGAAACAACTGCCTATCTGATATTCTTCGTCAATGTTAATCTGCTGGAGAAACAGCACACTGAAGTCTTCAAAATTAATTTCAATTAACGTTACTATCATTAATTTACAGAGTTAATATTCAAGTATTAAATCAAACAATGCAGGTATTTTGTTTATTTCTTGTTTTTTTCTTTTCATTCTTTTTTCCAAGTTTCATCTTTTCATTCTAGATAAGATTACCTGCAAAAATCTTCTATTTGCATTGATATCTTTTTCCCCTTGAGCAAAAAGAAGTTAATGCAAAGTCTGTATTTCCGTATTAGATTACACTGCCAAAAACACACACACAAAAAATCATATACTTGTTTTTTAGAAACAATAATTAATTTTTCTTTCTGTGAAATAATTTGTCAATAGGACATCTGAATAAAGTGTTGAGAGTAAACAGTTTTTCAGTTGGTAATGCTATTTAATTTTCATAATACGACATTTTTTTTATAATTCATGTCCATACTCTACGAAAGAAAAAAAATATCTGCGAAGGATATTAGAAGGAAGAAAAATTATTAGGTTTACATATAAATTTATGTATTCAAATTATGATCGATATATCAAAACATTTCTTCTTTCTAATATCGAAATAATCTTGAAAAATGAATTCACCTAATTTATGCTATTGCTTTGCTGAGAATTTGATTAAAGGATGAAATTTAAGAATTGAAATTTACAACCGAGCACAAAAAAACAAACGATCAATGGTGAGAAGACCCAGACATTTCCCGTACTTAGAGGATGATTCTGTACATTCTCGATGAAACTTTACAAGTAAGGCAAGATTGAATAATTCCTTCTATATTAAATTTATTCTCCATTTGAATAAATAGAAGCATTGTAAAGTATTTTTCTTTTCACGAATATCAGTTTTTCAGTTGAAATTTACTCAAACAGAGCGAAAAATGTTATTTTACATTTTAATGTCACGCTTAACTTTAAATGCATAGTTTAGCAAAAAGTTAAACGTGACAAATAAGCAAAAACTATTATTCAATAGAGAATCAATGGAATTTTTATATGTTTTCGATAAAATTCTCTTTAAAATTCTCCAGGTGCAATTAATCAGATTTCAATTTTTTTTAAACTTGACCAATTCGTTACTTTGTAATAATTTTGTAAACTTTTTTAATGGCGTACGGAGACGAAATACTACTTTGGCAAGTGTGTTGCCTGGAAAGAATAAATATTTCTAAGGTTTATGCAAAAAAGAAAATATAGAAAAGAAAAAGGACACAAAGTAGATGAATAATAATTAGTTATTTAGTTTCGTAAACGAAACTAAACTGAAATAAAAAAAAAATGGTAGAATTAGTTTACTATTTGTGTACATGGTGTATGATAAAAAAAGAAATAGATAACTTGAATACGAATTATAAATTATACATACATACATATATGTAAGGGACAAATACCGAAAACGAATATCATTTTATTGCAATATTCTTTTATTGCAAATTTTCAGTTGGAAGAAAATTGATAAAAAATTCCATACAAAGAACATATCCAAAGTGTCTAATATGTAGCAAGTTATCCTTCATTTCTCTAGTTTTTAAGTGCAAAAAAAAAGCAATTTAAGATTGACATCTACCTGTATATTTTATTTGTAAGTAATTCTCTTCTAAAAGATTTAGTTCCTATTCAAGTTTAATGTAATGTATTTTGTATTTTATTAAAGCCGATTTCTCTGCTATCAAATGAATTATAATCATTTACAATTATCTTAATACCTTAATTTAACCCCTAATCTATTGAAAGTTCATTTATTAATTAGATAAATTATTAGAGAGCAAATTATTCCAGGTCCTAGAGTGAGCGTTCTTCTGAATTATTATTTCTACAAAAAATTAGACAAATCACATTAATGTTTCAATGTTTCCTTCAAACAATAAAAATTACATTAAACAGGCTTCGTACTTATCTACTAAAAACTTTTATAATTACTATACTTTTTTACGATTTTGCTATACTATTTGGATACTTTTTTTTAAATTAGTGATACTATTTTATTAAAATTTTCCAAAAGAATTGAATTTATTTAAATAAATTTTAATAAAATTCTTTGCAAACATTCAATTATTTTCATAAATAATAAAATTTACAGAAGAATACAATTCTTCTGAAAAATTCAATTATTTAAAATCTTTTAATAAAATTCCTTCAAATGATTTAATTATTTTCAAACATTTTTCGAAATTTAATTATTTTCAATATTCACTATTTTAATAAAAAATTTTCTAAAAGAATTGAATTATTTAAAATAAATTTTAATAAAATCGTTAGAAATAAATCAACAAATTTTAATAAAATTCTATCAAACGATTCAAATATTTTAAAAAAATTTTCGAAATTCAATTATTTTCAATATTTGCTATTTTAATAAAAAAATTTCTCAAAGAATTGAATTTTTTTAAAATAAATTTTAATAAAATTCTTTGCAAACATTCAATTATTTTTATAAATAGTAAAATTTATGTCAGAATTCAATTATTTAAAAAAAATTTATAAAGTTCTCCGCAAAAAATTAATTATTTTTACAAGTAATAAAATTCTTCTCATGAATTCAACTATTTTAAAAAATTGTAATAAAATTGTTAGAAATAATTTAAAAAATTTTAAAAAAATTCTTTCAAACGATTCAGTTCTTTTCAAAAAATTTTCTAAATTTAATTATTTTCAATATCCACTATTTTAATAACAAATTTTCTAAAAGAATTGAATTATTTAAAATAAATTTTAATAAAATTATTTGCAAACATTCAATTATTTTCTTAAATAATAAAATTTACAGAAGAATTCAATTACAAAAAATATATTAAAGTTCTCCGCAAAAATTTAATTATTTTTATAAATAATAAAATTCTTCTCAGGAATTCAATTATGTTGAAAAATTTGAATAGAATTCATTGCAACAATTCAATTATTTTCATAACTATAATGAAACTCATTGCAGGATTTCAATTATTTTCAATACATTTTAAATGAATTCTTCGAAAAAATATATAATAACATTTTCTCACGAATTCAATTATTTATGAAAACAATTTTCATAAAATTATTCGAAAAAAAGCAAACATATTTTAGAAGATTCTTATAAAATTCTTTGCAAGAATTCAATTATTTCAATAAATAACAAAATTCGTCTGAGGAATTCAATTTTTTAAAATTTTTAATAAAATTCGATGCAAAAATTTAATAATTTTGATAACTTAAAAAATTCATCGTATAGAATTTCAATGTTAATATACAATTTTTTAATACAATTTTAAATTAATTCATTTAAAAAATGCAATTATTCTTACAATTTTGTTTAAATTCTTCAAAAGAATTTGATTATTTAAAAAAATTTTAAATATAATTTATTTATTAGAATTAAATAATTATTTTCAATACTTTTTTTAACTGATTTTCTTGAAAGAATTTATTTTCGAAAATTTTAATAAAATTGTTCGTAATAATTCATTTATTTTTAAAAATTTTTTATAAAATTCTTCTTATAGAAATTGAATTACTTTCAAAAATTAGTTGAAATTCAATTATTTTTAATATCTAGGTACTATTTCAATAAAATTTCCCAAAAGAATTTAATTGTATTTGAAAAATTATTTTAATAAAATTCGACTCAAGAATTAAATTTTTATTTTAATAAGTTTTATAAAATTCTCCGGAAAAATTCAATAATTTTTAATACAATTTGAATAAAATTTCTTGTCTGAATTTAATTATTTTTTAAAAGTTTTTAATCAATTAAATTTAATTTTAATTATTTGCAATGCAATTTCATATTATAAATTCTCCGAACAATGTAATTATTCTTGAAAATGTTACTTATTAAAATTTTAATTTTAAAACTGTAATATTACATTAAAATTTTTTATTTCGAAATAGGTATATTAAAATTTTGAATAATTTTATTTTTAAAATTTCAGCAAAAAAAAAAATTATTGAATTTTGGAAAAATTACAGTTGTAATTTTGAGAAATAGTTAAATTTCAAAAAGGCTTTACATTGAAATCATTTAAAATATTTTAATTCTTGTGGAAAAATAAAAAGGTATTTAAATATTTTATTAAAAAAATTATTCTATTTTTAAATGTAATTTAATTTTGAAATTCTGAAAAATATAAGTCGTCAAATTTAATTTTTCGACAGCTACATTTTTAATGATTTTTTTCAGTCTCAAAGCTACTTTTTGCTAGTTTTTTAAAAATTAATTATTGAGTACGAAGCCTGCATTATAATTTGTTGAATATTCAAAAGTATTCTTGGTTCGAAAAATTAGTTTTCTTTTGCGATAAACAAAAATAAATTTATAAAAACAAGTTTTAAAACTTTTTTATTAGCAAAAAAAAACTTTTTAATGAAAAATAATCTTTTTTAATTTCTAATTATTTATTCTAAATATTTATTATCAATATTTCAGTGAATGAACTCTTAAGTTGTAATAAAAAATAAATTGTAAGCCTTAATAAATAAATAAATTAAACAAATTTTATGCCCTAAACCCATTTACATAATTATGTAGACGTAAAAAAAGACTTATTAAGAGTTGATAATATTATGATTCTAGTTCTTACAATAAAATAATAGTTTATTTATAATAATTATCAATATCATACGCAGGTTATTATTATTGATCCATTTTCAAATTTACCTCGAAATATCCAAAGCGTGATTTCCGGTTATTTTGGAACGTTTTTTAAAATTTATAATATGTTATTTTTGAGCTTTTTGAGTTTTGCAACTGTATAGTGTCATGGCAATATTTCCTTTTATTACAGTTAGCAAAATTATGTTATTCTTTCTTATAAATATCAAAAGAGTAAAACTTAAACAAGCGTGGCGTATATACTATTCTAAAAATAAGAAAGTTGAGATTTTTGAGGTTAGGAATCAACCATATGATCGAATGTTTTCATCTGCGTTCGTCTTGACCGCGTCTTGACATTTCTAATGAATTTTCTTTCAAAAATTGAAAAACACAATTTTTAAAATGAGTTGGGAAGTAAGTGCAGCTCCAATGTGTCGAGCTTGCATGGAAATTGATGGAACTTTCATTTCTATGGACGATGAAATCTTTAATAAGAAAAATTTGCTCAAAAAACTTATCGAGTTAACGTCTATTCGCGTAAGTACATAACTTTAATATAATATTTAAAATTCTATCCTTTTTAATAAAATGGTTCATTTTTGAAATTGTTGATTAATAATTTTAATATTTCTTTGAATAAAAATGTTGAAATCGCTATACATTTTAAACTAGATTTCTATTACACAATTGTAGGTTATCTTGTTTGGAAAATAAAAATTTGCGTTATTTAATTTTACACTAATTGCAATATTGTGTGTATAGATTGATAAGAACGATGGCCTTCCAACAATGCTGTGCACAAAATGTGCTCATCGTACGAGCGCTTTTTACAAATTTAAACAGCAGGTTATTGAATCGGAGAAAAAACTTAGAAAAATGTTCCAAGTTTCGAGCGATTTTGTCAAGGTAATATTCAATTAAGCCTTTATTACCTAGGTGGTGATAACAATGATAGAATTATTATCATTAAAAGAGCAAATTGATTATAATTTTCTATCAAAAATTATATTTTTTGGTGTATTGTTTAAAGCGTTTAAAGTATCTCGGTAAGAAGAGAATTAAGAGAAATTAAAATTGTTACAAATATTGTTCATTTCTAAATTTTTTAAATTTCAAACTGATATTATTATTAAAGTGCCATGTTTTAAGTTTTTTAGAGACAATAATTATCTTTTTGTCAGGGACGTTTACCAAAGTCGAATTTTCTTTTTGTTTCGAATTTTGAAAGTAAAACAAAATTAGGAATGTATTTTATTTCTGATTTGGAATCTACACGAAATTTTACTGCCTATTAGTTTCGTTTCCATTGATCGAAACAAAAAGTCGATTCGAATGTAAATTATTTAATGAATAATTTTACTTAAGTAATTGTTTCAAAATTAATTGAATTTTTAAAGAATTGTGTTTACAATTTTCATAAATAGACGAGCTTCAAAAGATTTCAATTTGAAATTTTATAAACTCTCAATTATGAATGAATTTAATTGGAAATTCTAAAGAACTTATAATATGTAAAGTCATTAACGTCCGAGTGGTTTTAATAATAATCAAAATAAGAATAACTAATTACAGAAATTCAATTATTTTCAGAAGTGATAAACTTCTTCGCATAAATTCAATTATGTTCAAAAACTTTAAAAAAATTTCGTCAAAATTTCAATTATCTTTAAAAATAAAAAATTCTTCTCCAAAATTAAATTATCTTCAAAAATTTTAATAAAATTCTTAGCAAAAATTTAAATTATTTTCAAAAATTTTCAATATCTACTATTTTTTTAATAAAATTTTCAAAAAGAATTCAATTTAATAATTTAAAAAAAATTTTGATAAAATTCTACACAAACATTTAATTATTCACATAAATAATAAAGATTTCACAGGAATTCGATTATTTACAAATTTTTTTATGAATTTCTTCGCAATAATTCTATTATTGCAATTTAATTACATTTATAAATAATAAAATTCTTTTTAAGGATTCAATTATTTTCATAAATAATTAAACTCATTGCGAAATTTCAATTATTTTTAATACAATTTTAATCAAATTTCTCAAAAAATGAAATTATTCTTAAAATTTTTTATTAAAATTCGTCAAAAGAGAATTCAGTTATTTAGAAATTCGTTGATAACATTCTTTATGAGAATTCAATTATTCAATAAATTATTTATTTTTGTATTTAAATAATTAAATTCTCGTAGAATTTTCTAATAAGAATTGATTTAAAAATGAATTTCAGTTAAAATTTTAAATAATAATTGAATATTAGAAGCATTGTAGAATGAACTTTTGGAAATATTTGATTTTTGAAAAAGTTTTAAATTAAAATCTTTGAAAATTTGAATTTTTCATATACTTTTAATTAACAATTCTGTAGAACTAATCTTTTTGAAAAATTTTAATTCCAATTCTTTGGAGATTATTAGATGTTTTTAATTTCTAAAATATATTTAATTGAAGAATTAATTAAAATAATTGATTTAAAGAAAAATTTTAGTCAAAAATTCTAGAAAATAATAATTGAATTGAAATGATGAAAATATTTTTGAAACAGATACAGTAACAACAATAGATACTTTTAATCAAAATTTTCTTTCCAAATTAATTATAATTAATAACTTTAAGAAAAATTATTTTAGAATTTAATTATTTTAAAATAAATTTAATTCTTTGCAGGAATAAGAAAAAAATCTAGGTATTGCTTTAAAATTCATTGCGATTAAAAAGATTTTAAAGTGAAAAGATATTTAAAGAGAATTAGGTATTCGTGGTTGTTAAGTATTTCAAAAATAGGACACCAAAAATTAGAATTTTTATAGGAATTCCGATATTCTTTCAGTTTTTTTTGATAAAATTCCTCGATATTTTTCTAAATTCCCTCACCAATTTCATTTTACCTGATTTTTACTAATTTCCCTCATTTGTGGCAACCCTAATTAAGAATTAATTAATTAATTAAGAAATTTAAAGTGTATAGACTTATTTTACAAAGTTTAAAATATATTTTTAAAAATTCTTTTAATTGATCAGATGAACAATTTAAAATTGATTGAGATTTAAAAAATAATCAAAAATAGAGATGAATGCACTATGAATTGTATGTAATAGAAAACTTTAAGGAGACTTTCTGGTCAAGGATTTAAAAAAATAGATTTTTCTTTTTTTTGCTTTTAAATGTTCCTTAGAATCATAAAATTATTGTCCCAAAAGATTTTTGAAAAATTATGCAGAAGAAAAAAAGTTATTAATATTAACCAATAGTTTTGAGTGTTTTAGAATATTTGTAACATAAATAATTATTTAAATAGCTAAGTTTTTTTTACTGGAGAATAAGAAACTTCTATCATTTGTGAAATAAATCTAACTTTTTCATTGAACTTTTAAATTTACTATCCAAAATAATATATTTAATGTTTAATACAAGTTCAAAAATTAATATTAAAAATGCGAACATACGTATTATTTCAAATGCTAAATTATTTTGCAGGAAGACGTTTGTCAAGTTCACGAGGAAAAATTGGAAAATTTGCAATTTTCACAATCTATTATTAAGCCGAAAATAATAAATTTAGTGGACGAAAAACAATCACAGAACGAAACGCAACAAGAAATGCAACTATCAAAAGATGAAACCAACGAAGTAGTTGAAGAGATTTGCATTGATTCCCAAAATGTTCATTTGTTAAATAGTGAGAAGAATGAGACAATCGCAAATATTGTCAATTCCGGCGATGTTCAATACGCAATAACTTACGTACCTAACGAAGCTTTAAACCTCATGCTAAATAGAGAGGCTTTTCAAGCAGTTCTTGCAAACCCGGAAATCAGTTTGGCGAGCACAACCAGCAAGCAGACTGCACCAACGGCAAGCAATTTGCCAGAAAATGTAAGCAACGGAGATGTTGATTATGTGCAATCGGTTAGTGATTTATTTGGGGCAATTCCTCCAGTGGAAAGACTGTTGACTATTGAGAGTGCAATGGAAAATGAAGCGAATGTTGCAAACACGGAGATAGAAGTGCTGTATGCGAATGCTTCAGCAACTCAGGAGAAAGACTGCGTTTCGGATTCGAATGAAAACTCCCTGCTTCTTCACGATAACAACAACAGGGAAAAGGAAGCAGAGGAGAGCAACGACTCGGACTCGGATTATTTCATAAGTTCCAAAGACGACATTCTGGGCAGTCTCAACGACACGATAACGAGGGTGAAGGAGATAAGGGACGGGAACGAAGTGCAATTTCAGTGCAGCCTCTGTCTTCAGAATTACCAGGAACTGTCCAAGGTGTTGACTCACATCGTCGACAATCACGTGCCAAGCAACGGTAACAATACTAACTATAATTTCAAATTTAGGATAGAATATATCGAAATGTAGAATTGGCCAAGGAAAAGTCAGGGATTTTTATTAAAAGTACTGGAAAAAATTAAATTTTTAGAATTTGTAAGAAAATTCTGAATTTTGGTGTATTTTTTGTTTGACTCATAAACTAGGAAATTACCACGAATTCCAATTTAAAACATTCAATTTTTTCTATTTCTCACAATTCTGACAATTTCTGAAAATAAAATTCTTTTCAAATAACTTACAGTACCGGTCAAAATTGAGAATCCACCCATTTTCAAGGGAATGAAAAAAAATTTTAAATATAAAATTTATGAAAACTAAAATTTTTTCGATATATGTTTTGAAAGATGATAAAACTTTGAAAAGAACAAGATCTTTCAGAAGTCATTTGAACAATATTTTATTTAGATATTTTTAAAAAATCGTCATTTTCAATGTTTTATAAAAATTTAAATAACTTCTAAAATAATGAACGCTTTTTAATGATCTTAAGCTTATTTTAATTTTTTCAAAATGAGAATTACTTATAGGCATTAACGTGTAATTTTTTTCTTAGAAAATGCAGGCCGTCAAAGTTGGACCAAAAAAAAATTCAGATTTTCCAAGAGAATTTCATAAGAAAAATATATTTGATTTTTAAAAATTATTTTTCTGTTAACAAGATTTTTTCAAATTTTTTCAATTTTTTTGGTCGAAGTTTGACGACCTTGCTTTTTCTAAGAAAAAAATTACACGTTAATGCCTATAAGTAATTCTCATTTTGAAAAAATTAAAATAAGCTTTTTTAATTTTTTTTTTTTTTTTTTTTTTTTTTTTTTTTTTTTTTTTTTTTTTTTAATAAGCTTTTTTATTCACATTTTTATAAAACATTGAAAATGACGATTTTTTAAACATATCTAAATAAAATATTGTCCAAATGACTTCAGAAAGATCTTGTTCTTTTCAAAATTTTATCATCTTTCAAAAAATAAAAAGAAGAAAATTTTAGTTTCCATAAATTTTATGTTTTGAAATGTTTTTCATCCACCTGAAAATGGATGGACTCTGATTTTTGACCGGTAGCGTAATTCTTGAAAAACTATCATAAAATTATTACTTAGAAATAATTTAATGAATAATATTACTTAAATATTTCAAAATTAATTAAACTTCAAAAGGTGTTAATTTTAAATTTTCGAAAATTTCAATTTTGAATGAATTTTATTAGAAATTTTAAAGAACTTGGAATTTTCAAAAATTTTAATAATTCAAATTCTTCTCAAATTAGTTCAATTGTTTAATATATATTTAATTAATTATTAAAAATAATTAACTTATAGAAGAATTTTATTTAAAAATACTTAGAAAAATTGAATTTTTGAGAAGTTACAAATGATTGCTGAAATGCAATTATTTTCAAAAGTAATAAATTTTTTCGTAGAAATTCAATTACGTTCAAAAAATTATAAAAATTCTGGTCAAAATTTCAATTAACTTTATAAACAATAAAATTTTTTTCCAAAACTCAATTATTTTCAAAAATTACAAAATTCTTTGCAAAAATTCAATTATTTTCAATACAATTTGAATATAATTTTTAGAAAGAATTAATTATTTCTTAAAAATTTTATTAAAATTCGTTAAAAGAATTCAAATATTTAAATTTATACTTCAATATTATTCTTATTTTTGTATTTAAATAATTGAATTCTCGTAGAATTTTCTAATAAAAATTGATTTAAAAATGAATTTTAGTTTAAATTTTAGATAATAATTGAATATTAAAAACCTGGATTTTGAGAAATAATTAAATTTTGAAAAGGTTTCAAATTTAAATCTTTGAAAATCGGAATTTTTCTAAGTTTTAACTAACAATTTTGTAGATTTAATTTTTTTGGAAAAGTTTAGGGTCAAGAAGAAGAAGAAGAAGAAGATTATTAAAAAACATGAAGAAATCAATGATTTTAATCCTATTCTTATTAATAAAATTTTTCAAAAGAATTCAATTATTTAAAAAAATTTTTAAATTCTACGCAAACATTTCATTATTTTCATAAATAATAAAACTCATATCAGACTTTCAATTTTTTTAAATACAATTTTAATGAAATTCTTTGAAAAATAAAATTATTCTTAAAAATTATATTTAAGTTCATCAAAGAAATTCAATTATTTAAAAAGACATTTTAATAAAATTCGTCTCAACAATTCAATTATTTTCAAAAGTAATAAAATTCTTAGCAGAAATTCAATTGTGTTGAACAATTTACAAAAATTCTCGTCAAAATTTCAATAATCTTTATAAATTTTTCTCCGAAATTCAAATATTTTCAAAAACTTTAATAAAATTCTTGGCAAAATTTCAGTTATTTTCAAAAACTCTTATAAAAAAAAAGTTTCAAAAACTCTTTTCTCTTTGGAGAAATTCAATTACTTTAAATAAAATTTTAATCAAATTTCCGAAAAATAAACTTATTCTTAAAAGTTTTATTAAAATTTGTCAAGAGAATTTAATTATTTAAAAATTTGTTGACAAAGTTCTTTATATGAGAATTCAATGTTGAGAAACATTCATTTATTCAATAAATTATTTATTTTTTCATTATAAATAATTGAATTCTCGAAGATTTTTCTAGTAAATATTGATTTAAAAATGAATTTCAGTTAAAATTTTAGATTATTATTGAATATTGAAAGCAATATAGGGTAAATTTTTAGAAATAATTTAATTTTGAAAATGTTTCGAATTAAAATCTTTTAGAAAATTTGAACTTTTTATACTTTTAATTAACAATTCTGTAGAATTTATTTTTTTAAAAAAGTTTAATTGAATTTTTCTTTAATTCTTGAAGTTTTTATTTTCTAATATATATTTAATTGAAGAATCTCAGAATAATCAAAATTACGTAAAAATTAATATTGAAAATAATTGAATATTTACGAAGAATTCTATCATTTTTGAAAATAATTGAATTCTCACGGAGAATTTTATCAATTTTAAAAATAATTGAATTATTTCGAAGAATTTTATTCAAATTTTTTTAAGGATAATTGAATTCCTGCGAATAATTTTATTATCTATAAAAATAATTAAATTCTGGACAAGTTTTTTAAGGAAATTTAGAATTAATTTTTCTGAAAAAGTTTAGGTAATGCGGAATTTTTTTATAATTATTTAAAGTTTTTAATTTCTAATTTATTTTTTTGAAAAATGTCAGAATAATCGAAAGTTTAAGTAAAATTGAATTATAAACAAATGGATTTAAAAATTCTCAAAGAAGAACTTTTTCAAAAATTATTTCGATTATATTCGATATCTTCTTGTTTTATAATAATAAATATTCTTATAATATGTAATTGAATTTAAAATTTTTGAAAATTTTAATTTCTGTAAAAAAATAATTTAAAAACGAAGTTATTGAAGTTTTTGAGTAATTTTACAATTAAAGAAATTCGTAAATAAATGTAATAGAACAGGAAAAAAGTCGTTTTGTCTGGAAATCAGGGAGTTTGGTAAAATTAGGAATAAAATTAAAAATTAAAGATGGTAAAATATAAACGTGGTTTTAAAAACCTGGAAAAGTGAGGGAATTTGAAATGAGGAAAATAATAAATATAATAATTTTCAGGTCCCTTCTTCTGCATCGTGTGCGAGAAGGACTGCGAGAGTCGTCGGGAGCTGCGAGCGCACGTGAAGATCCACACGGGCTCGCACCCCTACATCTGCTTCCTCTGCAAGAAGGCCTACGTGATGAAGCGCTACCTGAAGCGGCACCTGGCCTGCCACACGGACTTCCCCAGGCACCGCTGCGCCAAGTGCGGCGTGCGCTACAAGATCAAGTCGGAGCTGGAGACCCACCTGACCACCCACGCGCACGGGCCCGCCTACCAGTGCGACCAGTGCCCGCGCATCTTCAACCACAAGGGCAACTACAAGCGCCACCTCCTGTCGCACCTGGACCCGCTCAACACCCACCTGCCCAAGTTCCCCTGCCGAGTCTGCGGCAAGCGCTTCCTCAACAACCGCACCCTGCAGACCCACTCGCGCGTCCACACCGGCGAGAAGCCCTTCAAGTGCACGATCTGCGACCGCACCTTCTCGCAGCAGGGCAACCTCCTCAACCACAGCAAGTCCGTGCACTCCAACCCCCGCAACCACACCTGCGAGGTCTGCGGCAAGAGCTTCAACCAGAAGGCCACTCTCCGGGACCACAGCCTCCTGCACACCGGCGAGAAGCCCTACGTCTGCACCATCTGCGGCAAGGCCTTCACCTTCAGCTCCGCCATGCGCCGGCACGTCTGGGTGCACAGCGGCGGCAAGCCCTTCGGCTGCGACGTCTGCGACGCGCGCTTCATCGGCAAGTACGACCTCAAGCGCCACATGAAGATCCACTCCCAGAGGCCCAAGCTGCAGCGACAAAGGCGCGACTCCGACGAGTCAAACGACGAGCCGAACGACGCCCACCACGCGGAGCTCCTCCAGGAAATGATCGTCCTGCAGGACACGCCCGACGAAGAGCGCATCCTCATGGAGCCGATTCTCCTGCCCGATCATCGGGCGGACGCCGTCGATCCGCAGAAGGAGTCCGAGAAGGAAAACGCCTATGCTCTTTTCAATTTAATGCAGTATAGTTAGTCCAATGTCATAATTTCCTATTTTTAAAGAATGGTCGAATTAAATTTCAAATTCCTTTCGGTAGAAGCGCAAGGAATCTAATTTATGATCTGTATTTGGACAATTTAAAGTTATATTTCAAGAAAAATCACAAATTTTTGTCAATAATAAATGATTAACATTTGAAATGAAATTTAACAAATGTTTTCTATTGACCGTAAATTGTAATTTTTATTCAAATTCAACTTTAGTTTTAAATATTAAAAATTAAATTCTTCGCCTTTCCACCAAAACGAATTTAAAATTTAATTTATCTTTTTCTTTTGAATTACGAAATTATAACATTGGACTGACTTTTGTTTTGACTGTCCGTCAGATTCTTGCTTAATGTACACAAAGAGAGTGATCTTTAGTTTATCCATGAAAAGTCATTATTAGTTCTACGTGCTCGCCTCACAAGCTTAGTTTACGCCTCGTTAGAAATTAACAAATTTCTATTACTCTTCTGTTGTTAATATTTATACTTGTATTTATACTCGTATTTATAACTAAATTAGTTTTCGAACGTATTCTCCCTATAAGGGACGATTTTACGTTTGCGAGTTAAAAACCTGAGTGAGAATCTTTTTTTTTTATAGTTATTTTTCTTCAGACTAGAAAAAAATGTGATTTATTATAAATACTCACAGTGTGTATAAAATAGAAAATTAATAAATTTTGTATTTTTGAGAATTTTTTATATTTTAAATTACACATGAAGTAATAAGTTATTTAATAGTAAAACCTATTGGTTTAAAACTACGTATATTATTATTGTTAGAAGCAATGCTATTTACAGGGCTCGAACTAGAAAAAGAACGAAAAATTCGTAAGTTTTACGATATAATTTAGAAAATATTTAAGACGTTATAAATGATTGCAGAACTTCAATTATTTTCAAAGTAAATCAAATTCTTCGTAGAAATTCAATTATGATCAAAAATTAAATAAAATTCTGGTCATAATTTTAAGTATCTTTAGAAATAATAAAATTCTTCTCCGAAATTTAATTATTTTCAAAAATTTTAGTAAAATTCTTTGCAAAATTTCAATTATTTTCAATCCTCAATTTAATAACTTTTAATATTTGCTATTTTAATCAAATTTTCCAAAAGAATTGAATTATTTTAAAAAAATTTAATAAAATTCTACGCAAATATTTAATTATTTTTATAAAATAATAAAAATTTCATAGGAATTCAATTATTTACAAATTTTTTATAAATTCCTTAGCAAAAATTCAATTATTAATAAAATTGAATGTCTGTGGTGTTTTTTAAAATTTTTTTGAAAATAATTGAATTCCTAAAAAGCGTTTTAGTATTTATGAAAATAATTGAATTTTCAAGAAAAATTTATTACTTTTAAAAATAATTCAATTCTTGTGATGAATAATGTTATTTGTGAAAATAATTAAATTTTACAAAAAATTTTATTAAAATGACTCAAAATAATTGATTTTATTGGAATAATTTTATTAAAATATTTGAAAATAATTAAATTCTTGTGAAAATTCTAATATTTTTGTAAATAATTGAATTCTTCCAAAGAATTTAAAAAAATATATTTTTTTTAAATAATTCATTTTTTCGAGGAATTAAAATCAAATTTTTAAGAATAACTACATTTTTTTGAGCAATTCGTGTAAAATTGGCATTAAAAATAATTAAAAAACTGTGATGAATTTTATTATTTATAAAAATAATTAAATTCTTGCGAACGATTGGAATTTTTTTAAATAATTGAATTTCCAAGAAGAAATTTATTACTCTTTAAAATAATTGAATCCTTGTGATGAATAGTTATTTATGACGACAATTGAATTTTGCAAAGAATTTTATTAAAATGCCTCAAAATAATTGAATTTTTTGAACGAATTTTATTAAAATCTAAATGAATAATTGAATTATTTATAAAAACTTTAATTAAAATTGTATTTAAAATAATTGATTTCTTTCGAACAATTTTATTAAAATATTTGAAAATAATTGAATTCCTGTGAAAAATTCTAATACTTTTGTAAAAAATTGAATTCTTTCAAAGAATTAAAAAAATTTTTTTTAAATAATTGAATTTTTGGAGGAATTGAAATTAAATTTATAAGAATAATTACATTTTTTGATCAATTCTTGTAAAATTGTATTAAAAATAATTAAAATCCTGCGATGAATTTTATTATTTATGAAAGTAATTAAATAGTTGCTGTGAATTTAATTAAAGTTTTCAAAAATAATTGAATTGCCGAGAAGAATTTTATTATTTATGAAAATAATTGAATTATTGCAAAAAATTTTATTAAAATATTTAAAAAGAATTGAATTTCTATGAAAAATTTTGTTATTTTTAAAAATAATTGAATTGTTCTTAACAATTTTATAAACATTGTTTTAAATAATTAATTTTTTCGAAATATAATGAATATTATGACATTTTTATTTTAAAGAATTGAATTCTTGTGGAAAACTTTATTTGTAAAAATAATTGAATTTTTCGATTAATTAAATGATTACTGTATAAAATCTTTTTGTAATTTAACAAATTCTAAAAATTACAACTGCAATTCTTCCAAAATTCAATAGTTTTTTTCTTGAATAATTAAAATTATTCAAAACTTTAATCATTTTTGAAGAAGAAAATAAATTAATCATTTTTTAAAATGAAAAATTGAATAAAAATTTTCAAATTTTTTTCAATTTAAAAATCTTTTGAAATTAAATTTTTTATTTCGAAAAATTCATAAATTCTTCTAACATTTAATTATGAACTAAATTTTTCGAAATTGAAATATTATTTAAAGAATTTTATTAAATTTTTTTAAAATAATTGAATTTCTGTGAAGAGTTGCATTAACATTTTCAAAAATAATTAAATTTCCGAGAAGAATTTTATAAAAATTCTTTTAAATAATTGATTTTTTTTAAATTCAATGAAAATTGTTCTAAATAATTAAATTCTTTTAGGAAATTTTCTGAAAATAGTAGGCATTGAAATTAATTGAATTTCAGCAAAGATTTTCATTATTTAGGAAAATAATTGAATCCTTTCAAAAAAATATAATAATTTTTTGAGAATAATTTAAAAAGATTTAAAGTCTATTTAAAAAAAAATTTGAAACAGAAAATTGTAGGTAATAAACAAATAAGGTTTCATTGTAAAATCTACTCTTGTTGTCAGATGGCGCCACTGTTCACTTTCTGCTTTCTCATGCTGGAAATTTATTGACATATTAAATTTTCGTAATCACAGAGGGAACTACTGTTTCTTTTTCTCAACAATTTAAACATTTTATTTAACGTTAAGTATTTTTTATCACTTAGCAATAAAGATTGAAAAAATAAAATTCAAATATTTAAAAAATATATTTATTTAGTTTGTTTTTCTTAATAAATAAAAAAAAAATTTCTTAAAAAAATATTTTATGAAAAGTACATTTAAATTTGCAAATTAGAAAACAAAATAAATTTTACTTACATTTGTTTAAAAAATGAAGAATGAGAATTATTTTTGAAAAATGATTAAATTGCGTAAATACAATTTTTTAAATGTATTTTATTAAAACTAAACAATTTTTAAATAATCACTTTTTTTAAGAAAATAAAACTGATTTTATTTGTTTATTTTAATTTCTAGTAAAAATTGAAACAATGACTCTTCTCAATGACACTTGAGGAGAGGAATTGAATGATTTGTTGATGTTATGAAAAAGTTCCAAATTCAAAAGTGGCGAAAAAGCAACTGCAAAGGATTAAACACTCGGTGGTTGTAAGTAAGATGAATTGTCCTTAGGATCTTTCTTGTGATTTCCTCGAAAGAAGACGAACTTTGAAGACTTTGGAAACGGAGAGATTTTCTTTTGAAAAGAATAATTTTCGCAGGATGTTTCATCTGAGAAGTCCGAAGCGAGATTGAATCGTGGTTCGCAGCGAAAACCGTGTTGCGCAGACGACCGACGCGCACTCGCGCAGGCGTGCTCCGATTGGCGGAGACGGCAGTCTCCGACTGTCATGGCCGTCGCGCACACTGCCACCGGGTGGAGAAATTCCCTCGCCGCTGCCGCCGCCGCCACCACCACCGATCAGGACGTGGGTAAGTACCCTCACTCCTCCTTCCAATCAGTCTGCATTCGCATGTTCACGAGGTAGCTCAAAGTAGCCTATCGCACTCGCCACCCCCGCTCACCTGGCCTGCACAATTTGTCCGGTACACGGCAGGGCAAAGGGTTAACCCCGAGCCAGTCGAGGTACACGCTGCGAGAGAGAGGTTAGGTCTCGATTGTACGACGGCGGCACGTCGACACCGGTTTGAATCGAACCAAATGTCACTGTGCGAAAGTGCCGGCAGTTTTGAATTTTCAATGCTTTCGCGGACTTGCCTGTGGAAGCTGGGACCGCTCGCATGGGAATTGTCAAGAAAGTAGACCGTGTCACGCGACAACCACCGTGACAGATCGCCTTTGTTTTTGGAGGTTAGGTACTGGGACCGCGCGTCCTTTAAATTCAAACAGGCCACGCGCTGCTGACAGTTGCTGGTGTCACTCCTCGTCTCAGCCGACTTGAAGGTTTTTATTTTCCCTTTCAAAAAGGACCGAGTTTTCTGCATTTTCAAACCGAATTACCTCCAAAGTCAGTACTCCAAAGTTTGAATGTTGGTAGGACCGATGACATGTGGACCGGTCCGCCGCGCCGTTGTCTTGTTTACATTCTTCACGTTTGCCGTGGCCCGTGTTATGTTTATTTCTCGACTAAAGATTTTCGCCGTATTTTCACTCATCTTCAATAAGTAGTGACTAGTAAAATAACTGTTAAAAAAACGCCGTTTACAATTTTAGCAAGTTTTTTTTCTAGCGAGTGTTTAAAAGTAAACAAAATTTTTTAATATCGATAGCTCTTCTTTTTAATAAATGTGAAAATAGACTATTTATTGACAACATTTTATTTTTATGGAAAATTTTGTTAATGTTTTTACTTTAAATATTAATCTTCCTTCCTGCTGGAAATGTGATGCCTTTCATTCATTCGTGACATTACTATACATTGAATTGTGTTATTTTAAAATGTGAGTGATTCTCTACAAAGTGGTAATTTTTGACAGTACCTTTTACCATCTAGGATTAATTTTTCTAGTTTTATTTTTATTTAAAGTTTTTATAGGGTAAACGGGGGTAATTAAATACTAATTATTATTAGTAGAAAATTACTAATTTTTAGTGAATAAATAACTACGACAATAGTTAAATTTCACTAATTGAATTAGTTACCAAAAAGTTTAGTTATTTTGGCATAATCTAAACGCGAATTTAACTAATAATGAGTCATTAACTACTTTATTAGTAAAATATTATTATTTAAATCATTGTTATGATGAATGAATATTTATTTTCTTTTATTAAATAAAAGAAAACTCGAAAATAAATATTAATTTCACCGGTAATTTTAAAAAGTTAGTGTCGACTACTAATGCTTTATTCGAGTAAAACGAGAAGTATCACATCATTGATGATGAAATTTACGAAATTTAAATATTTTATTAATTTCTAGTAATCATTAAAATTAAATTTTCAGCATAAAATCATAAATGGTTGATTCTCCGCGTCTAGCGTACAATTTAATGTCCCTCGTGTTTTTTAAGAAGTCAGTTGCAAATATTCTAATGAATCCAACGGAAAAAACTAATCTTCATGACGACAAATAAAATCCTAGAGTTGTTTTCAATTAGAAATTTATAATTTTGCTTAAAAATCTGTGTTAATTTGCCTACCATTTCATATAAAAATTTGTTTTTTTCGTTAAATATAGCAATAAATATATAATATAAATAATGAATATTGTCATTTTCGTATTGTCTAAGTTAGTAGAATTTGAGAAAAACAAAACACTTCTGAAAAAAATTTATTTTTTTGTTTTTTATATGTGAAAAGCGCATGAAAGTTGCACAGCGAATCAAAAAATCGTCATCGTTATCATATATTTTAAATAAAATGAATAATTATTTATATTTTACGTCAAAAAAAAGTTCAGTATAGTATAAGGTTAGTAAAAACAAATGATGTGAAAAAAGAGAAAAATCGAAATCTCTAATAATTTGTTTAAAAAATTAGTTTTTCTTGCGTGTCATGGTATAATCAATTTATCATGGTTGTTTATTGTAAAAAGAAAAATTGTAATAATTATTTCATTTTTTGGTCAGGGAAAAGTCCCAAGAAAGCAAAAATAAAATTAGTAAAAAGTCAGGGAAAAAGTTAAGAAAAGTCAGGGAATTTTTTTCTTAATTATTCTTGTTAGACATCTTCGGCCCACCACGGATATTTCGTTCTTGAATATTAAACTTTAAAATTCTGTATCAACATTTACTTAATTTGAAAAAAAATTCAATAATAGTAAAATCGAAATTGTGCGCTACGTGGAGAATCACCCAAATGCTTTTGTAATTCTTTACTAAAATGCTTATATCTTATTAAATACCGTCAACAAAGAAAATAATGCGACAAAAAACGCGATTTTTTTCAGTTTTTTCTTTACTCAAAATTTTGGTTATTTCAGGTTAACAGAAATATAACAAAAAGCATAAAAACTTATACTCTAAAATAAAAATTTCAAGTTCAAATTGAATTCAGATATAAAAGTTACTATAATTATCCGACTTTTTATTATACTTCAGTCAATCTAAAATAAAAAAGTTTGAGATAATTTGTTTTTCAAATCTTAATTTAAATGGCATACTTTTGTCGCCAAAGGACGAAATTGTTTATAATATAAGCTCTTTAATGAAACTAGGAAAAAATTGTTTAAAACAAGAACCAGATTGAAATAATTTCTTACAAAAATATCACATGAAAAAGAATCGCGCGTTCCATAATTATACCCCTGTCGACGGTATGATTATGATTTTTTAATCTTGAAAAAGTGCGTAAAAAGGTTGTATTTATTTGTCACTTCAAGAAAAATGCCGTTATTTATTTGAATAAAAATTATTTTTAACAAGTTTATTAAATGACAAAAAATTTAAATAAAATAATTTAATATATAATTTTGGGAAATAATTATAATTTTTCTATTTTTTAAAATAAAAATAATAAAAATAGTTTAAAAGGTATGAAGTAGAGAAGCAAAAATTACCACTCATTGTCAGTGAATAATTTTAGTGCCTAAAGCAACGTTCTATCCCTTTCATAGAATTCTTATAGTGGGAATATGATTCTTATACTTAAATTTCTAAGATAATTCCTATTTAATGTAACGTCTTGCAAAATAATCGAAGTAAGCGGACAATATCATTTTTTTCCGTTTGTTAAAGGTAGTAAATAATTTTTGCAATAAACATAATAAATTTACATCTATATTTTCGAGTATTTATTTCTATTTTAATATTCTAAGTAAAATCTAATATTATTTTTCCTATTGAAAAATAGTTTTGCATATATTTGACTGTAATCTTCAAATGGGAATAAATTATTCTGCACTCAAGTTATATTACATGAATCATGTAAACGAATCATATTACACGGAAAATTCAGTATAAATGATCTTGCACTGGTGTTTCAATAAGCATTATATGAAGGGGAGGCGCCGAATTTTAGGACAATTGACTAAAGGCTTTCTTTCAATATAAATAAGTAATTTAACACGGCTAAGTTCTAAATATCCCTAAAAGCATTTTTAAAACAAAAAAATTGGAAGAGAAGCAGGCGCAAAACGCCTACATCTAGGGTTTCGTGGCATTTAAAAAGAAAAAAAAAATTTAAAAAGAAAAACTATGGATGTTTAATTAATGTACAATTAATTTCTATAAATTGATTCTCCACCAATTAACATTAACATTAATAGAGAAAAAATAGAAGCAGGCATTTACGAATCCTGTTTTGGTTATCATAAACCATTGTGGTTAAGACTGACTGACTGACTGATTTGGGATCTATAGTGCCCCAAATTACGACGGACAGACGGACGGACGGACGGACGCCAAAGTGAAACTATAAGGCTTTCGGCCATGGACCACGAAACCCTAAAAAGACTACCAAAGACTACCGATTTTTGAAATTTTTTTTAAAAATTGATGAGGCTGAAGTCCGCAACGTTTTTGAAAACGAAAACGAAAAAATAACAAGACATTAATATTTATTATTTAGCAAAAAAATGAAATTATTTGTTTCTAATTATCATCTAAGAATTAGAATTAACTTCTTAATCTTAAAAATTTATGCACATCGTAATTGTAGATAAATTAACTTGCAAAAAATTCTTTTTATAATTTTTCTTTTTCAAAAACGTTGCGAACTTCAGCTTTTTCATAAAAATTGAAGTTTCAGAGCAAAAAACCAACTCCGTTTACCTTTTCAGAATTCTATTTTACAAAAAAGAAAATTTTTTAAAAGATACAGTAATAATAATTTTTTTTCAAGGAGTGTCAAAGTCGATGAGATTTTAACGCAGAGCTTCAATGGAAAAATCGTATTGACTTTAACATCCCCTTAAGGGTTTTTTTTTAATACAAATGAGGATCAATTGATACAATGAAAAAACTCACCATTCAGGCAGGACCTAATATTGCTTTCTTTTTCTTTTCATTTTTTATTTCTTTTTAAATCCATGAATTTTTACAAGTTCACTGAAAATAAGAAAACAATTATAAATAAAATTAATTATATAAATTAAAACCCACATTTAAATATTTAACCCTTCTGTTAGGTTAGAAAGAAATTACATAACTTGGATTAGTGGACCATTTGATCCCATAATACATTTTTGATATAAAATATACTTTCAAACTGAATTTGTTCGAGTATTTCAATCAAATATTGTGAAAACAATTAAAAGTAAAATATTTGTAGGCTTTTATCTTCACACACATGTATAAATACTTGTTGTCCTATTCCGATAATTAATTTGGAAAGTATACACAATTATACCAAGTAAAAACAATGAGTATACTGTTTGTATCGCCTATGATATTTAGTTTGTACATTCTCCTTCACGAATCTACTGCTTGAAGATGTGGCGAATTTACATTATTTTACAAGAAGTGCAAATGAAAATAGTACAACTTTTGAAAATGATCTAGAAATCAAAAGTGACTCAGATATTTCTGATATTGAATACAATAACAATAACTCAGAGCTAAGTGATAGTGAATACCAAAAAAACTGTAACTTCTTCTGTTGACTCAATGCTTATTTCAAAAAACCAAATGGAATGGAGTGCAACTCCTTTACGTCAACCTATTAGAATTGCTATATACTCAAAGTATAATTTCTCGTGCAGTGATACACGTTCAGCATTCTTACTTTTTTTCCTCCGATAATTGAAAAAATTATTATTCAAAATACCACATTTATTGGAACTTTGTAGTAATTTACTAATAGTGTAAACGAAATGTGATGAATATTATTAATTAATAATAACGGGTTGTTTAGTTACAGGAAGACAAAGTTTATTAAAATTTTTATCGAAACGCAAGATTTTAAAAATTTCTGTCTCTCATATAATGTTGCATGTCTGCACAAAATCTCAATTTTTTACCAACACCATATTAAATTAAGTCAATAAATAGTTTTAAATACACAGTGGCTCCCATAAATATTCGAATAAGTAGCAGCTTAATAACAATTATTTAATAGTTGGTCCCGAAAAAATTCTATTATAAGTTTAATTAAATTTTTTAAAAATATTTCAAAGAATGTTACTATTACAGAAACTTAGATTTTATAAATTTATATTGTGACTAATTGTGGTTAGGAATAAAGTTCCAAATGGTGCTTCTTATTTTGATATTCGGGATAGAGCTCTACAATAAAAAAACGATATTCTAAGTTTAAGAATATAATCTTTGTCGCTATTTAAGTATATTTTCCATATATTTTATTCTTAAAGTTAGAAAATAATATTATTAAAATAGGAAAAAGTTTCTTGAAATAAGAATATTTCTGAATTCAAGAACTGTTTCTTATTTAAGGAATATTATATTCTAATTTTAAGAATAACATACATGGAAAATGTACTTAAAATAGATTATATTCTTATAAATTTAGAATATGGTTTTCTCGCAATTTAAAAATTTTGAATTCGGTGAAAATATTTTTGGCAAAAAAGCATTGGGTAACAAATTTTTCGGGAAAGTTATTGTTTTTCAAAAATATAATAAAAAACATAATAAATAATTTGTCTTTAGTACAACGTTACTACTACTACAAAGTTTCAATATAAGTTTGGTGAAAAAAGGTCCAATATAGACTGGAGTTAGTTTTCTGCTCTGAAACATCTAATTTTGTTTGAAATTTTTTAAAAAATACAACCTTTGGTGGTCATAAAAATCTAATTTTTGAAATACAGTTCACTCAATTATCCGAACTAAAGGATGCAGGCACCTATCCGGATTATCGAAAAAAGTACAAAATAAAGGAATTTTCGATTTATAATTTTATGTATTTATTTGCATATGTATTTAAATAAGACTGAAACGAAATGAAACTCTTAAAGTCAACATTAATAAATGTTTACTTAGAAATATTTCAAAAGATTTACATAAAATTTTTCTTAAAATCATTAAAATACCTAAAAACGCAACATTTTGTGTGAAAAATTAAAAATTTATGGTATTAAATGCTTATGAACTTTAAAATTAAAAACAAAAATATTTGAAAGTCCGGATATAAATCGAAAATCCGGATAATGGGGCCTCTACTGGTCTCTACTGTATAACGAAGACGTTAATGGCATTTATATTTAATTCTTATCTTTATTTATAAAATTTTTAAATAAATTCTGATTCAAAACTGTATATTATATTCCTCCAAAGTTTGGATATTTTTTAGTTTCTGATATCACGAAAAAGTAAGCGTTGTTTTGAGACAAATATAAATAAATATTTAAAGGAAAATAGATAGAAGTAGAATATTTAAAATTTTAAAAACTCGAAAAAAGTAAAATTATTTTTTATTATAAAATAGTTCGTCAGTTTCGATGTTTGCCGGCGGCTCGTTGTTTTTCTTTATATTACGCCTGCAAGTGAAGGTGTATAGTTTTTGTGGCGTGAAGAATTATTATTCTGATAAACTTTAAGAAATTTATTAAAGTGCTTTACTTTGCTAAAAAGTTTTACTGCGACGTGATAAAAACTTGATTGCTAAAGCCAAAATATTTGAAATCAGCGTGTACTTTCAAACAATGAATTCTGATTATTGTTTGACAAACCTTAAATTGGAAATTAAATGGTAGAATAGTGGAAAATAAATCATATGCGCGAAAGATGAGTTGATTATTGAATTATTTAAAGCATAAAATGCTTTTTAATGAGGATTAGAATTGTAAAATTTCGTATAACTTTGGAGTAACTGAATGTAATGATGTGTGTAATGCGGTTTCATGCATTCGGAATGACGCATTAATCGTTTAAACATAGGACCGATTAATCAGATGCTTAAAACTACTGAATTGGTGACACAATCATTTTAGCATTAGAATTATAAATTGATTGATTAAAAAAGCAGGCAACGCTTTAATTAATTATTGACATCTTATTAAAAGTTTTATAATTTTACACGGAAAGAAAGTAAATATTAAATTTTATAAAAGTACTTTATAATTTGGAAAGAAAATGTCACAAAGCAATTTTTCTTTTGATACAAAAAATACTAAACAGGAAAACTTTGAAATTTAGTGTTTAATATAATCGAATATCAAGAACATCAATCAAATTTTAATATAATGTTATTAAATTTCATATAATTCTTTTTAAACTTTTAAAGTTTTATATTATATGAAAATTTTGTCATGTCGCATTTTCTACCTAAAATGTAAAATACTTTTCAAAAATGTAATATCTATTTTCTTTCAATAAAAAATTTACATTTTATAGTTCATAATATTAAATACTTTTAAATTTGTAAATTCTAAGTATACATATTTAATACTAGACGAAATATTTTTAGTATTTTTCAGAGTATTGAAATTTTTATTAGTTCTAAACTATATTAGTTATCAAAAAATCTGTTGGAGGTGTTTATTATTTTCAGAAGTACCAACTGGTTAATCGGCTACAATTAGGGCGTATTCTTATGTGACAGTTTTAAATTTTGGATTTATTTCTTATTTATTTTCAAAGTATAGTTTTTAAAAAGAAATCTTTGATACATAAATGTCAATTCAGTTTTTTTATTTAGACGTTTTTGTACTATAGCTCATTTTATAATGGTGCCGTCACATTTTTCACAAGTTTCGACGTTCTTACGGACATAATAAGATTTTGTTAACAAACAATTTTTAATTATCTTATTTTTTCCTTTATAAATAAAATTGTTACTTCAAAAGTATTATAAACATTTCTATCAGCAATGTAGAATATTAAGTAATTCAAAAATTTGTTATTCAGGGAAAATCAAAAATAAGTCAGGGAAAAGTCAGGGAATTTTTTCAGAAGTTTATACGTTTATTGAAAATAAAACGGAAAAGTTTTTAGTTATATTTTCCAAGTTAAAAGATATTGAATAATCATAAAAAAAGTAGGAGTCGCACAATTACCGCCGCGCCGGTAGTGTACATTCTAACGATTTTCAAAGAGATTGTTGAAATAAAGCTGAAATGTATACCGACAGATAAGAATACGCCTGTTCGAAAGAAATGTAAAAGAAAAAGAAAGAGCATTCGTGCGGTTTGTTTTAGATGGACAATTCAGCGTACTTGCCAAATCAACTACCACCACCTATGGTTGTTTTCTCTCAGGCCGGAGGATTCGCCGAGAGTCTCAGATTGCAAAGACCTTTCAATCCACAAGTTAGTCCTTGACCTATGCTTCAAGCCTAAATACTCGTCTCTTTCCCGCTTCAATGCTTCTTGCTTGTAGAATTTTTATTGGCATTTCATTCAAATTTTAATATAAACACGCACCCATTATGCTTTATTGCCTTTTTTTAACACATAGTTGTAGTGCCCCCATATTACACCCAATTATACAGATGACTTTCAATTTGGTGACTCGAAAACATTTTTCTATGCTTTACGAGTCTTTTCCTTTTGCAAATGACTAACATTTCTCGGAATTGATTTCCTAGCACAAAAATTATCGTGACTAAAATTAAAAATGATTTTTTAAAGATTATTAAGACTGTCCATAACAGGCAATCATTTTGGCTAATTATTAGACGATATTTATAAGTCAATAAGGAAAAAAAAATTTCTAAATTTTTTTTTTATAAAAATCAAGTAACTTATCATTTAAATAAAATAAAAGTTGTTTCTTAATTTTTGCAATAAAATCGTTTATTCAATTGTCTCATCTATTGTTAGGTACAAAGTCAAAAGTTTCAAGAAGTTCTTTTTCCAAAGAATATTTTTTTTCAAAATTTAAAAAAAAGGAAATATAATGCAAACCAATACTCAGCTAATTTCACTTTTATAATTCAGTTGTTTTTTAGAAAAAATTTAATGTCAAATTCAAAGTAAATAAGTACCTTTTTATAACAATTTAAGAAAGAATCCGACGGACAGTCAAATCAAAAGTTAATCCAATGTCATAATTTCGTAATTTAAAAGAAAAACACAAATTAACTTTTAAATTCGTCTTGGTACAAAGACGAAGAATTTAATTTTGAATAATTTAAAACGATTAAAAGTTGCATTTGAATAAAAATTACAATTTTCTATCAATAAGAAACATTTGTTAAATTTTAGGTTAGCATCTATTATTGACAAAAAATTATAATTTTTATTCAAATATAACTTTAAAATGTTCAAAATGTAGAAAATTAAATTCCTTGCTCTTCTACCAAAAGGAATTTAAAATTAAATTTGACTTTTTTTTAAATACGAAATTATGACATTGGACTAACTTTTGTTCCGATTGTTTGTCGGATTCTTCATTAGATAAAATTTTAAATTACTGAAAATTATAACAATCATTTATAACAGTTTATTTAGAAATCGATGGATTTTCATATTTTACAAACATCCGGAAGTTAAGGTTGTTTATTGGAGGTGCAAAAATAAAACATTTTGATACTTTTTGGAACTTTTATTTAATTTACATTTAAAAACAATTGTTCTTGGAACTTTTCTTCTGAATTCTGAAACGAACAATTTCTTATAGAAAAAAAAATTTCTTAAAGAAATTAAATTAAATTTAAATTTTAAATTTCTTATAGAACTTTTGGGTTGAGACTGAATTTTTGAAACTTCTGTACCCCATAGTATAGGTAGGGAGTCAGAGTTTCCAAAAAGTAAGTTCCAAGCCAAATAAAAAGTTCTTTTTTCCAAAGGATTATAAAAACTTCATTTTTATAAAATATAAAAATAAATAAATATTTTTTTATAAAATATATTTTATTGGAAAAATGTTTTCTAAAATAAAAATTGTAAAAGATTACTATTTTACTAATTTAAATAAAGGTCCATTTCGTTCAAATCGTTCCACCAATAGAAGACGATTTCATAGAGAGCATTTTTCTAATAAAATGAAGGTATTATATAAATAGAGAGCTTAACTTCTATAGTTTATGGTTCCGGTCGATTTATTATGAACATTTTAGAAGATTCAAAGCAAAAAAAAAATTCATAAATTGTTTTCAAAAAATTGACAGTTTATGAAAGTTAAATTATCTTATTTTCTATAATTTAAGAAAAAATACTATCTATTAAATAAAAACTTTTATAAAAGAGAATTATGTAAGTTTCTACTTAAATTATGGATAAAAAAATAAAAAAGAATTTTTAACTTTTATTTTTAATTTGTTTATAGTCTTTCTCTAAATTATAGAAACCATGAAATTCGACTCGTGACGTGCGTTAAATTTAAGTTTCGCGTTCAACTTCATATCTCAAGTCAAATTTTTTGGAAACACATAATTTAAGGGAAAGGTTCATCTATATTTTTAACTATATCAAGAAAATGATTATTTAAGTCTTCCATAAAATTATTTTTAAATCAATTTTTTGAGAAGAATTCAATGGTCAGAAAATAAAATTGGTCAGAAAATATCCTGACTCTTTTAAGATTTTTATTTTTCTTAAAAATTGATAGATTTTAAAATCCATTTGTAATTTTGCAGAAAATATGTTTTTCTATTAACGAAAAAATTGATTTTTATTTTTTTGAAGAATTTTTTTTTAGAGAGAGAAAGAAACATTATTTTTAGGTTGAAAATGCTAAAAAAATACCATTGTTATTCTTTTTTATTTGGAAATCCATTTGTTTAGTTTGATAACCAATTTCAAATAAATTTTCTTATAATTTTTTTAAAATTTTATAGGTATTTTTTTATTTAAAAAACTTATAATTTGAAGTTAGTTAGAAAAATAAACAAATATATTTCCAATATATACAAAATTTTTAAATTCAATAACAATGGTATTTTTTTAAAGCATTTTCAACGTAAAATCAATGTTTTTTTAATTAATTTTCTCATTCGGCAATTTTTTTGTAAATACAAAAATATATTTTCTACAAAATTACAGATGGATTTTAAAATCTATCAATTTTAAAAAAAATTAAAAAAGGGTCAAAATATTTTCTGACTATTGAATTCCTCTAAAAAAATTAATAAAAATTTAATTTTATGGAAAATTTAAGCGGATACTTCGACTATACATTTTTAACTAAATCATCAAGAAAATGATTTAAATCTTCCATTAACTTATTTTTATTTATTTTTATAGTAATTTTTGGAGAGGAAATCAATGGTCAGAAAATAAAATTGTTCAGCAAATATTCTGACCCTTTTTAGATTTTTATTTTACTTAAAAAATGATAGATGTTTTAAAATTCATCCGTAATTTTGTAGAAAATATGTTTTTCTATTCACAAAGAAATTGCCGAATGAAAAAATGATTTTTATTATTTTTGAAGCACTATTTGCAAAAAATATTGCTTTTAGGTTGACAATGCTAAAAAAACCCATTGTTATTCAATTTGTTTATATGGAAATTCACATTTTTATTGTTCCAACTAATTTCAAATCATAATTTTTTAAAAATAAAAAGTATAAAATACAAAATAAAATTATGATTTGAAATTAGTTAGAAAAATAAAGATGTGAATTTCTATATAAAAAAAAGTTGAATAAAAATGGTATAAATAATTTTTAAGGAAATGAAAATAAAAAAATCTAAAAAGGGTCAGAATATTTTCTGACCATTGATTTCCTCTCTAAAAATTAGTGTATAAAAATAATTTCATGGAATATTTAAATCATTTTCTTGATATTGTTTAAAAATGTAGTCGAAGTTAAATTTTATTTTTATCAGTGTTAGAGAAATTTAAGGGCAGGGAGGTGTTACGTTATATAAAAAGATTTATGTTTCAAACAGAAATTTCATTGGAAAATTGAGAATTTGAAAATTTCTTAAAACATTTTTAAAAAACGTAAAGATCATTTTAAAGTTGATTAATGTAATATTATGTTTTAATTTTGCCTTCACAGTTTACACATGTTTAATTTATTTTACTTACTCAATATTTTAGTGGTTTATTCAGTGTAAATTGTTGAAAAATGTTGTTCGTTTATTTATTTAATTATATTTATTTTGTGTTGTTTTTATTTATTTAATATTGTTATTATAATAATGGATTATCTCTTTTCTCTCGTTACTAACTCTAAACGCTGACTTCCAATGTTTGTCTTAATTTTAATGCCTTCAACATGTAATTTCAAACTTTTTATTTATTGACTTCCTGAAGAGGAAATCGTGTTGATTTCGAAACGTAGGAGAATTTTTTTTATATATTAATATATTAAAAACCACTTGTCTGTTTTATTACCTACTAAACTCTAATTGATTGAATCGAGGATTGAATTCTCTTCTTGATAACTTTTTCGAAACAAGTTAATAGTGGTTACCGCATAAAATCAGATGCTTTCTTTTAAAGTGTTTGCCTTAATAAATTATGCGTCAGAGATAACTTTTGGGTTGGATTCAATCGAGCAAATCAATTTTGATTACCATGCGTTTAGTGCTTTATAATCACTTACCTTCCTAATAATTTTGTGCTTGCGAGAGCGATGATTAATGCACATTGCGTGAATTCATGCATGCTATTTATATTTGTGTAGATTCAAGTATGTGCATGCATCTTGCTTATTAAAACTAAGAATGGTGGAAATAATATGAAGAATGTGCGAATGTCGTTGCGGCTATTTTACATTTGCCTTGCCCTTGCCTTGGCGACACACTGCATGCGAAAAATAAATAAAATTTACGTTTGGATATTAATTAGGAAAACAAATAAATTCTCAAGTTTATCTGTCAATTAAAATACCGTTTCTCAATGATGCACCTAACTTGATGTTATAACACTAATGCCATTGAGAGTTATATTACTACAAATAGTGTAATGTAACTCTTAATAAATCTATTATAAAGGCATCTGCAGTAATTTGAAAACTACTTGACTATCTAACAAATCAATGATTCTTTATGCAATAATATTTGCTATCCATTGTCTGTTTATTAATGTACTCAAAACTGCAATGCTCAATGCTTCGATTCAAAGGTAAAATAATGAATACTGAATAAGTTGTTGATTGTTCCATGCGATTATATTCGATAATCATTAAATTCATTTCCTTTCATAAAAACGTAATATCCTGCTTTTGGATTGTCATGAACAAACCAACGTCAATAATATTCATCAAACGCGATTCACAATGCTATATATATTGATATCATATTCCTAATATCACTCTCCGTGTTTAAAGGGACACTCGACGTTCAGAATGTGGGTTAAAGTTACTAGGGAACTGTCATTGCAAATATAATTAATATTTTTCTCCAAATCTTCTTCTTTGGAGTAACCCAAGTTTATTTCTATATATCTACTAAGGGGTCTACTATACATGTAGAAAAGCAACGACTTTTTTTACAATTTTACTGTGCACCAATTTCCAAGTGTCCCAAAAGTGTCTCGACTAAATTATATACTTATTTGTGGTTTATGTCAAAGGTGAAGTTTTCCTCCTCCCTAAAAACTATTTTAGAACATTAAATTAGCTCTTACACAATGTATTTTTAAAAATACTCTTTTTTATGGAGTTTGGTTGCTTGACGTTAAGCTGGCTGTGCCATGTGTTATTTGAAAAATTGAAGATCTCGAATTGTTTTATAGAATACTAAATTAGCGGAAAATTATGACTCTAAATTCTGACACGAGAAAGAAGTTGTTTAGTGAAAGTCGTACATATACTTGTTCAATTAAAAGTAGTCGGTCCACACTGAGGTAACAGTTTTTTTTTATTCCAAAACATAAACGGTTAACCAAACACTTTCTGTTACAAATCAAAAAAGTAGAAACATTTTTATTTTATAATCGAATTAAAAATAAATTTTATTGAATCAAATTTATTATGCTTAATTCCAATCCTTAGAAATATGAAAATTTTTCGACTTTATTAATTGGCATCAGAAAGTATTATTATCGACTATTAAAAAAATTGTTAGATTAATAGGGGTCTATTTATTCCTACATGAAAATACCACTAAGATCAATTTAAATACTCGATTTTATTAACTTGCTGATATAAAATAGCTATTTCCTTTTTTCCATTTAATTTTCTTGTAAATACCAATGTTCGTAGTCCAATCTTAACCTTCTCAACATATATAATTTTTTTAATTTTATGATTAACAATCATCTACAGAAATAAATTGTTTTAATTTTCCAAGTACCTGCATTCTTGAATTTTAATATTCTGAATATAGATGAAATCCTCAGTCACTCACTTTTTAATTTTACTACCTAGTTCTTTTATATAGATAATCAATCTTTAAATTTTATTAAAAGTGTATTAAAGTTAATTTAATTAGTCAGTGTAAAGAAGATATGACTTTGTAAAAGATTTTAAGTTTCATAAATCATTTTGAAACGAGTTGAATGTACCTGTATAAGAAAAACTGGAAATTTAGACACTACAGTTAAACGTGGACGTTATAACAAAGTTCAAACTGAGGAAAGCTATAAACTTGACCACTATAAATCTGAAAGGGTTTAAAACCTTTGTGAAATGTCCTACTTTGAAATGGTGCTCTATTATAAGATTTAAACTCACGCGTTTAATACTCATCCGTTAAAAAAGAAATCATGTTTTTTGATGTGCTCAAGCATTATCTTGAATTAATGACTTTAAATGTCGATGTTAAGTCGTTAAACTCGAATATACGAGATATGGCTAAATAATTTCTGCGTCGTTAAAATCATTGCGTAAAGAACACGCGTAATTAAAGATTTGCTTGCGAAAGTTAATTTATACTCTAGGTGTTATGCTCGTAAGTTGCAAACTCATTAGAAATACATACATAGGAAGAATTTTTATCATTTCTTTACTGGTTTTCTTTTGTTATTCGAAAATCGTAACGAATTAGTAAAAGCGCAGGTGAAATTTACTTTCTTTCTGTTACGTAAATATACAAGGCTTGTGAGGCTTTCGCCAGTTTTCCCGACAAGTGCCTTGCAAGTTTTATTAAATAAAAATGAAGAGGAAATTTTCAACTCGCGAGGGGAGACAAGTTAGTTGGACCTCAAGGTCGTCATCGAGATTTCCACACACGGGCCCTTTATGGTAGTTGATGGTAAAGCACCGGACACTTATTCCGTAGTCGTCAAATCATGATTTTTTAGTATATTCGACTTTGACGTTTTAAAACAGAATATGCGTTTTTAAGAAAAGGAAATGAAAAATTATGTTTGAATGCCAAGTGTGATAATGCAAAAATAAATAAAAACATTTTGTTCCTTTTTCCAGGTTACTGACTCGATTGCAAAAGATTTGCCACTTGCGTTCGGTACGGGCTCTCCATTTAGTTACGGTTTCCAACAGATGTTGCATCTCCAACACATTCAGCAATTCCAGCATTTTCAGCCGTTTAGTGCGTTCAAGCCTCCGCCGGGACCGTCGGCTTTCGCGCCACCAGGCAAGTGTCTCAAAGTTGAAACCGGAAGTTCAACAGTGTCCTCCGGTTTGCCTAGTATTAGTTCCCTTTCGAGCATCTCGAACATGTTCTCGCCCTCGTTACCCACGTCGGTCGCGGGTGGACCTGGCGGTCCAGAACTTGCACCACAAAGTCCCGCCGGGTCCACTAGTCGGTCACCGCCCGGAAGTGCAACGAGTACAATTGTCGGTTCCATTGCTCCCAGTCGTGGAACACCACCTGATGAAGAGGATCGTGATGCCAACGCCACTCCCGGATCGGAGAACACTGAGCGCTCCACTCCTGAGGAAGGACGACCATATAGACGTAAGTTTTTTTGTCTTTTTATAAACAATCGGGCGAAGGGAATTTTTTGTTAGGAAATATGTTTGTCACCTACAGCAGTTGATAAATATGTTTATGCAACTCAGGTGCATAATGATCCAAAATGATGATATCAAGATGATGATAGTTGACAACTATTACAAAGTTAACAACTTTTTATTATTATTCATTGATAGTGGATGATCCGCGGATTTTTTGTTTACTGGTAATTTCGCGCGGAACATGTAACATTAATTCCTTTTAATTCGCGGATTCCTTTTTGGCAAAAATGAATAAAAGCATTAAAAACATTTTTAAGAGCATAATTGATATTATTTAGGAGCATAATTTAGAGATATATTTGATTGATGTTTAGCAGCCTGATCGGTATCGATTCAAGAAAACTGTACTGGATAGCAGTTCTTTCACGTCTGCTCTTTTGTCCTCGTCTCTTACTTTCTCATTATACACATCCTGTATCATTCTATTCTATATTACTAGATATTTCGTGGAATGAATTATCCTTTGAAAATAAAAAAACAATTATAATGCTGTATGTTTTTATCCTTAAAAGACAAATTAGCTTTTAATTAGCTAGCTTTTGAGTAAAATATAATATGGATAATTAAAGAAAAATCTTCAGTGAATTTTTGTCCATAAAGCTATACATATATACATATGGCAAAATATATATATTTTCTCACTTTTTTTTTAATTGCGAGTTTCGCTCTGTGAGAGGGCTTGTTTTATTTTTCTGTGCTTTTTAAATTCGCTCATACGGAAACCAAAACGCTCTTCTTTTTTCAACAGGCGGCATCGTGATGCATGAGTGTGGCCAGCTAATTTTTGTTTAATTGTGACGTAAAAAAAAGGAATTGTAAGAGCACTTGGTAATTTGAGTTAAACACAATTTCCCTTGTTTTCAAACGTTTTCTCACTTTTTATTTCGCATGTTATTTCTCATCGTTTTTTAATGCATTTCCTCCTACAAAAGTGTACATTTCCAACAACAGTGTAAAATCAACAATTCCCTCGTAATGCGAAATCTTTAAGGGTCACTACAGAAAAAAATTTTATTGAATCAAGTAAACGTATTTACTACTATTGACATAATTTTCTTGAAGCGTGCATTGATAAAAAATTGTTTGAAAAAACACGATAATGAGATCTGTAAAACAAATAAAACTTGAAACTAATTAAAAAAAAAATAAGGAACAAGTTAGAAAATGCATTGCCGAAAAAATGTGAACAAGTTTTATTAATTAAATGCACAACTGTTTTTGCAAAAATTGCCAACGATTATTCTGATAATTACGATGGCAATTGAGATTGAAATGGGGAGGGATGGTAAAAATCTCGAATGTTAACGGGTTGCCGATGCGACGCGACATTGGAATGTAATATGTTACAGATTATTCGATACCTTTTGTGAATCCATTCGGGCATGGATTTAACATAGAGAGTATGCGCTCGGAAATGCAGATATTCGTCAGGAAATTGATAACTGGAATAAACTCGTTGCAAAACATCGAAACTTACACAGACGCATATCCATCTACATTTATACAATGTTGGTTTTATAAGCACACTTTTGCATTTAGTGCCAGGATTTTGCTCTCCTCTCTTTCCACAAAGTGAACTGTTTACGAGCAGTTTTTCACGTGTAAAATTAAATAGAATTTTATTAGGAACACCACAATTGAAGCAGGCTCAAGTTCAAAATGTCCTTGTTTTGCAACCATCCCACAAGGGCGTTTCATTTTTGTTTTTTATTTTCAAAAAAAATTAAACCCAAATTTAGAGTCCTTTTGACTAAAAGATATGTCAGGTTTTTTCAAATTTTTTGACACAGCAGTATCTTCATTTAAGATGTTTTGATAGTTATCTTTTTATAGATATTCGAACTATCTTCAATTTAAAATGTTAGCATCTTTGTTGTTAAACATCTTACGAAGACAAATATCTAATCTGTAAGAAACTTTTCCTTTTACTTAACTTTTAAATTCTAATTCAGAAAAAATATTTCAATCTCTTGATTAATACGCAGAAAGTAGAAAGTACCTTAAATAATAAATAAGACGCTTTACAAAACAAAACAAAACCTGAAAAAATTGGACACATTTTTGGGCCAAAAAGACTACAATAATTTCTATTTAAGATTTTTGAAAATAGAAAAGAAAGTTTTTGGTGAAACGCCATAATAAATACACTATCAGTTACACCTTGCATATTTTATTTCACTATTAGAGTAAAAAGTTGGTTATGTATATGCAAGAATTGCTCACTTGATGAATATTAACCTGCTATTAAAATTTAATTGGAGAAGTAGAAAAGTATAAAAATAGAAAAGAATGTAAATGACTGCATCCAGCTGTTAAACTTTGAAATAACATATTTTCCAGGGTTTCACATTATAAGTTATTGGATGGTGCTCTTTTTAAAATCTTTAAATTTTTATGCTACCCAAGGCTCATAGAGTAAGAAATCTTAAATGTAAATAAATATGCTTAAAGAGAGGTTAATTCTCGTAAAAAATTATCTTGTTCACAGCTTGACAAAACTCAGTGCGGAAATTTAATTGATACTTTTCTAAAAGTTCTAGTCATATAGCTATAAAAAATAACTAAACTTTTACCAGAATTTGATCTTCATGTTTCAAAAAACATTCGTATGTATTATCCTATCATCTGTTATTTTTGCTTTTATTAATAGTAAATTATTGATCAAAGCAAATACGACAGATCAGACCTCGGTTATTATGACTTTTTCGACTTTTCTCGACTATTTTTCAAAAATACGATTTTTTTCGACTTATATTTTCAAAAATTGCGACTTGCCTGCTTTTTCGACTTTTTTTCCAAATAGTGCAATAAAATACCACATTTTTAGTATGATATGCAACTTATTTCAAATTTTATAGTGTAAAAAATAACTATAGACAAATTTTTTCAAAATTATATTTTTGAATAATTTTTTTACGATAATAAAATTTTAAAAATATTAAAAATTTTAAATTAAAAATTTTTGAATAATTGAAATTTTGTAAAATTTAATTGAAAATAATTCATTATAATATATAATAATCAATTAAAAATATTAACGAAAATAGTTTTTTTTAAGTATTTTATTAGAATTTTTGAAAATCAACTTTTGCAGAATTTTAATTGTAGATTTTTAAAACAATTTAATTCTCAAAAATTTTAATGAAAAATCTTTAAGTGTAAATTTAAAAATGAAAAATAATAAAAATTTGCTTCTAAAAATTATTTTAAAATATTCTAGATAAAAATTCAGATCCTACACATAAAAAATAATAACATTATACAATTTTTGAGAATTATTTCTAACATTTTGGAAAACACAATTATGTTCAAAATTTTTAATTAAAATTCTTCAAAAAAATTTATTATTTTTCAATAACTTACAGAAATTCTTTTAAGAAATTCAATTATTTTTAAAAAATAACAGTACAATATTTTTAAAAAAACTATTTCTCAAAAATGATTTATCATAATTTTTTAACAATCAATTATCTTAGAACAAAGTAAATTAAAATTTCTAAAAAATTTTTATTTAATTAGACTTAATAAAATATTGGGAAAAAAATGTTCATATTATTTTATAATTAAAATTCTTTAAAAATTTTATTATCTTTTTAATATTTTTTAAAAAATTTTTTATTTCTTTTTTTAGTATTTATCAAAATTCAATTATTATTATTAGATTTTATCAAATTACAATTAATTGATAATTATTTAATTGTACATTTAATTTAAACACTATTATCTTTCAAAAATTATTTAAAAATATTTTTAAAAAATTAATTTTAAGAATTTCTTTATTACAATTTTTTGAAAATATTATATCTTACTAACTTTTTAAAATAAACAATTATTATAAAAAGTTGAATTTTTGTATTTAAATAATTGATTTAAAGATGAAATTTAGTTAAAAATTGTAGAAAATAATTGAATTTTTGGAAAAAGTATAGTTTAGTTTTAAAAGAGTTGCGTTTATAATTTTTTGTATAAATAGATGAACATCAAAAGGTTTTAATTTAAAATTTTGTAAAATTTCAATTTTGAATTAATGAATTAAATAATAAAAATTTTACAGGAATTTTATTATTTTACAAATTTTTTATAAATTTCTTCGCAATAATTCAATTATTTTCATAAATAATCAAATTTTTTACAGAATTTCAATTATTTTCATAAATGATAAAAAAAACTTTATAGGTTTTCAATTATTTTCATAAATAATAAAACTCATCGCAGAATTTCAATTATTTTTAATATAATTTTAATATAGAATTTCTCGAAAAATGTAATTATTCTTAAAAATTTTATTATAATTCATCAAAGAAATTCAATTATGGTCAAAAGTTTAAAAAAATTATAGTCAAAATTTCAATTTTCTAAAATTTGAATAAAATTCTTGGCAAAATTTAAATTATTTTCAAAAACTTTTCTCAAAATTCAATCAAATTTTTTAACAGAGATTCAATTATTTTTAATACAATTTTAATCTAATTTCTCGAAAAATGAAATTATTCTTAAAAATTTTATTGAAATTCTTCAAAAGAATTTTAATTACATATTTAAAAATTTGTTGATAAAATTCTTTATGAGAGTTCAATTGTAAAAAATTCGATTCTTCAATAAATTATTTATTTTTGTATTTAAATAATAATTAAATTCTCGTAGAACACGGAGAGAAGAGTTGCAGTAAATGTGACAGAACGCGTTTAGTAAATCATTTAGTGCACCGGTTAGTGGCGCCAACTGTATGTTTAGTATAATACACTACGACACCTCTCTGTTTAGTAGAATATACTGTTTGCTCAGTGTATCTTACTATCTTACTAAACAGTGCAGTAGATGGCACTGTCTGTACCGTCAGTCCAAACCTAACGATTCTGTTTAGTAGATTTAACTGCCATGTCAGTAGAATCTACTACGCCCTTCTCTCCGTGAATTTTCTAATAAATTTTTTTTCAAATATAAA